CTAAAAATATACCGGTATCTGGGCAGACGGGCCGAGGTCACCGGGTCAGACCACAGGTGGCCGGGGACTAAGTTGTTACAATTGTATTTACTTGAGATGGCTAGGAGGGTTGGAGCGTGGAGTAGTTGAAAGAATGGAGGAAAATGGAATAAAGAAAATGGCTCCAAAATAATTGTGAAACAGAAACAGCGTGACTGTGTTTTTTGTTCGAGTTCAGCGAAGATTTATACCCGCCCCTCGCTTCACAGCGATATACTTCAAATTTGGTAACACGGATGGGGTTGGCTTAGTGCTTGACTCGAAGTTGAACACGAAAAACAAGAAAACAAAAATTGTGAGACAGAGTGTTGACACCAGCCTGGGCTGTAGTTTTGAGGGAACGACACTCATCGGTCGACGGTGGTGCTTGAAGTTGGAAGTGGCAGTCGGCATTCGCTTCACCTGGGGCTGACCTATGGACTGCAGACGGTGTTAACATTCGTCGGGCTAGCCGAGCCGAGTTGCTGTGGGCATCCGGGGCCGAACTTTTGACAGCGGACGGACAGTGTTGGAAGTTCGCCGGTCCAGTCAAGATCCGCTGTACCGGGACGGGAGGCTAATGACGGTCTTATCGCCGGGGAAAATCCGCTGTATCGAGGCGGACTTGCAGAGCGGGCGGTCTTGAAATTCGCCGGGGCTAGCCGAAAATTGCTGTAGGCACCGAGGTCAACGTGCGGAAAGCGGGACGGTTGGAAAGCAGACAGCTGGTGTGGTGAGTCTGTGTCGTGGGTGAAGTACATGCAGCATTACGAACTGACGGACAGAATGTGTTTTCTGTAGGCTATAACTTTCCTCATTTTTGCAGTTTCATGTGAGTTACATGTGTGTACATAGATACATGAAGTGTTGGGCATGTTTAAGGGTTAGATACTCAAACTGTCATAGTGTTGTCATTTACTGATTGACTGTTTTAACACTTGGTATTCTCCTGGGGTTAGATTTTCATTGTGGGCGTTCCATTACCTAGATTTTGACATTGATTTGTGAATGTAAATCTGTAGGATTTCAGTTATGACTACCTCAAGTACCGATCTTGTTGAGCGCCTTGTGTCAGGCTTAACCGAAGCACTGAAACAGACCAAGACAACACCTCAGAGACCTGTTAAACTAGTTAGATTTACGGGTCGGCCAGTGAAACCGGGTGACCCCACTATTAGAGAGTGGCTGGAGGAAGTTGAGGTTTACTGCCGACAATGTAAAATCCCAGACAAAGAGAAAGCACAGGTTGTGGTGAACCATTTAAGCGGTACTGCTAGGGAAGAAATCAAATGTCACGAGGGGGTTGTAGTGATAGCATGACAAGGTTTGTTCAGGTTCCCAGGCACTTGGACGTAGTGCGTTTATTCCGCCATGATGCAACAAGAGTATAGCCACATTACACACACACTGTGTTCATGCGCTGTGCGCACAATATGAATATGTAGTTCCACATTAATATTACAACATCCTCCCCCCTTTGAAAGTACAATGTTGGATTCTAACATTTACTAGACAACTTTCCGCACAGGTTGAAAGTTAATGTGTTAATGTGGTAAGTTACTGAATAAAAATGATGGGTAAATAACAACTAATTGTGTTGCGTCTCTAATTTCTAATGTCTTCACATGTTTCTGGTGGGCTGGAACTTGAACTTCTATAAACGGCTCTAAACATCAAAAACTCTTAACATGTAACTATTAAAACTCTTCAACTGTAACTCCAAGTAACAGGTCTATGATTTAACGTTATATCGAAGGGTTACAGTCAGTCCGCAGCGCACGCGATAATGAGGTCAAATCCCGAACTTTATGTGCACGGGCTACGTCACGAATCGGCCACGAGACTTACACGTGTTATTGCGAGAGTTTGGCAGCTTTTTTTTCATGAACTACACGTTGCAAATGAAGTAGCGGGTCTCCAAGATGGCGTGGTAAGTCGAAAGCGAACGTTTTTCTGAATCGAATGATATAAAATATGTCGAGATTCAGTAAGTTTTTGGCGGAATTTTGTTCACTCGAAGTTGGGGTGTGATTTTGAGGATTATTTTTGTTGTGTTTTTAGTTCCTGCGCCCTGACTGGACTAGGTAATAATGACGAAAATGATCACCACACATCGATTAAGGAAGCAATGAGCTTTCGTTTGATATGTATTTTAGCTTGTGGCGACATGTTTGTAGTTTTTTCTACGACACTTTTCGTGCGCGAGATTTGAAGTTTTTCGGCCATTTCTTTCGGCTTGTACATGCGGAGCGTGTACAGTGTGAATCATCGTGCACACGAGCACATGTAATTTTTAGGGATTTTTGGCATTTTTGGGCATGTTGGGGGTGGCTGATCTAGTCAATTCGTCATGCATGTTAAAAAATTTTATGTACATTTTGCTCATTTTTTCACAATTTAGGCCTATACAAATTTGTTTATTTACAATTTTTCATTTCATTACAACATGGGATCATACATTCTTGTTCAGCTTCCTAGCTATTTACACCAAAATCCATTTCTATCAACTTCTATCGTGTATGGATGTCTGCTTTTCATGGAGATAGTTGTTTTTAATATTTTACAAATAATGTAAATTTGTTTCTTAATGCTACCGAAACGGTTTTTGTTCAGTTAATTTTGGAAAATTCCCTGGGAAAACTATACAACATACAGTGCATTTTATAGGCTATACACTAATTTGCTTTTGGTCATACAAAGAAAAGTCGTGAAGAAAATCCTTTCGATAAATTTACAATCCTCATATTTTTTTCATTCACTACCAATACAGGAACCTGTTCCAGCCAGTTCAATGCCTCGGTCCTCAGTTGTCGACAGTTTCATCGCCTCCAACACGGGAACGGTCACGTTCACTTCAGTGCCTTGGTTGGCATGGTCCTCATGTTATGTCGTTGACATTGACAATTTATCATCTCTCACACAAGAATGTTTTCTGAGACTCAGATTCATGCAGTATTAAGTTCCTGTGTGCAGATTTTATGATTTTTGTACTTCAGTGTAAAGGCCGGTTCATATACTTGTAGCGAATGGAAAGCGACATTGACATCATGAAACCTTCGCTTCAAATTTGCCGGAATTGAAACATGCTCAACTTTTGTGGAATTGCAGTGCCGTGACGTCAACAATTTGAATTTGCATTCGCAGAGTATGATCCGGCCTTTATATGTACTGCGTTGTGCAAACAACATCATCACCATTTGTTGTTGCCATGTTAAACACGGTTATTTAAAGTCATGCCACGGATACCATGCCAAAGACAGCAACCAAAGATTATCTAACATTTACTACATGTAAATATTGCTTCATGTACATAATCGTGATTAGTGACACTATGCCAAAACTGTGGTTATTGTTATCATCTTCACTTCACTGTAAATTGTTTAAATTGAACCTGTTACTACCAGATTTTAGCAGTTTTTAGATTGTAGGAGAGTTGATGATATATTTGCTATTGATTTTTGTTGACGTTTATTTCTTATCCAGACAGATGTTGTCAGACATGTATGCCAAAACTCATTTTTGAAAAATGTTTTCCCTTCTTTATGCAAGCTGATTTTTATTCTGACTGGAAACATGGGTATTATTAACACATGTATTTGCAATTTGTGATGTGAGGTGTCATGAAAAGAAGTTATCTGAGTTTTCCATGAGTGTTTCAAAGCAAGGATGTGATGGTGTAACAATATTATACAAAACTGATCAAGTATGTTAATGCTTGCAAGTACATGTACATGTAAGTTTATTTATTTTTATTATTTTTATTATAAAAATCTTTCGACAATAATTAAAAATCTATTTAAAAAATAAAAGTAAATTGTCCTGGTCAAGACAAACGTTTGTAGAAACTGTCATCAAAGATGAGTCAGCCCAATTAAAAATTAAAATTTAGAATTAAATAAATACAACAGGCATTTTATATGAAAATAAACAGTTCTTATACAAAACAGTTCATAACATAAACTCAAAGTTTATAGGATTTTTATAAGTTGTGTTTTCAAAATTGTCTTCAATAAATACAGAAAACAAATATCCTTAAATAACTTCAACTTTGTCACATGTACATTTTGTTATATTTTGGATTTTATTATTTGATAAAGGGGATACAATTTTGAAGAAAAAAACGTCTAAAAGTGTTAACTTACATTGGCCCTGGACACATTTAACTTAACAGATGAATAATTTCCGAAGGGTTCTACGGCGACAACAAAATAGTTCAAATCCTACCGTAAGTCCCTGCACAAAATTCCACGTGCGTATTGTAACATGGATACATGAACTACACGTTATTATGAAATCTTTCGTGATGACGTCATTTTTGGCCAATGAGGGCACGGGAAAACGACGCACTGTCATGGCGGGATGTTTCGTTGTTGGGTTTTTGAAGATCGTTAGAATTTTCTGCGCCCTGACTAGACTAGCTAAAGATCAAAGCGAAATCGACAATATTTGGATAAAATATAGTATTATCTCTGACGTTGGTGTGAAATTGAGCTGTGGCTGCTGTCAGAAGATGGAGAATATCGTCGTTTTTTGAAGGCCAATTCGTTGAGATTCGAAAGTTTTTTTCCGTTACAAATTTCTCCCTCTAAATTTCACGTAATTTCCAATCTGATTTGATAATACAACAGAATGGTTCTCTATCTAAAAGAAAATATACATAATATTGATGGTTGACAAATAAAATGGATATTTCGGACCGAATTCCATGCGTCGTCGACAGCTCATTAAGTATTCAAAACGAGGTCACGCACCGGAATGCCATGCATACAGCGCACATAAAATGAACAGCTTTTCAGTGCGCTGCGGACTGACTGGTTACATGCTAGTCAAACTTTCATCCTCATCAAATTCTTGAGGTTAACTACCCTCAGTCGTTTAAGTAATCAAAAGTTTAGATAAAACAACTTGAAAAACGTTTAAACAATGAACACTCTGCAAGTATGATATTGTCATGGGCTTGGGGTATATTGGGTAAGATGGCCTTATTGCTGGATGTATCGCACTGGTCTGCGAATTACTCGGCCTGACCTTGTGGTCTGTGGAGTATCTCCGGTTGCCCTAGCTGCGTTGTTGCTATGATTTGGGAGTTTGTGCTGCTTACTGAGGTCTTTGGTTTTCTCAGTGTCTGCAAATCTGACACGCTTGGGAGTGATAGAGTGTCGTGAATCTGTCATCTCTCTGAGGTGGGATCGAGTACGTCTCAATATGCTACCGTTTGGGGTGGCGACTTTATACGACCTCGGCTCTCTACACACGGTTGTCACCTCGCCTGGCAGCCAAGCCCGAGAATCCTGATCAAGAATCCGGACCTTCTGCCCAACATGGAGAGGTGGGAGCTCATTGGCTGAGTATCTCCTGTCGTAATCTGCTTTCATTCGGTCACGCCTCTTGTCGTGGGCATCCTTCATTTCCTCGTGTCGTGCCTCAGTGTATGGGCGGCGGCTTGGCAAGCTTGTGCAAGGTGGCCTGCCAAACAGAATCTCGGCAGGAGACGGCAGTTTGGAATCAATGGGAGTAGCTCGCAAGTTCAGAAGTGCTTTATCAACATTCTGCTTCGACTTTTGGCATCTCTTTATGAGTGTCTTGACCGTCCGCACTGCACGTTCCACGAAACCGTTGGATTGTGGGTATCGAGGTGAAGATGTGATGTGACTTATGCCCCACGAAGCACACATGTCCTGGTACGGCGCTCCAACGAACTGTGGGCCATTGTCCGATATTATTTCTGCTGGCGCTCCGAACATGCCAAGTGTGCGGGATGTCACACCAGCTACCGTTGCGCTCTTGGTATCTCGCAGCCTGTGGACGACTGGGAACTTCGAGGTATAGTCGATGATCAGAAGAAAGTCATCTCCACCTATTTCAAACAGGTCAGTGCCTATCTTGGTCCATGGGGTGGATGGGATCTCATGGGGATGGAGGGGTTCCTTCTTCTGCTTTGGTTGGTTTTCTTGGCAGTATTCACATGCCCTTACAGCAATGTCGATGTCACGGCTGATGTTTGGCCAGTACACGGTTTCTCGAGCCAAACGTCGTGTTTTCTCGATTCCCATGTGTCCCGTGTGGAGCTGGGCCAGGATGTCTTGTCGTAGATCATCAGGGATTACTACTTGTTTCCCTTTGAAGATGACACCCCAGGATATTCCCAGTTCATCTCTGTAGGGCCAGTATGGCCTTAGATCTCTGGGTAGCTCCTTGATTTCGTCAGGCCAGCCGGCGTAGATAACTTGGGTTAGGGAACTCAGGGTTGGGTCACGCGCGGTCTGCACCTGCAGTTGGGTCTGCTTAGTCTGGCCAAAGTGAAGGAGATCGATGTGCTTGAGCTCTGGTCCTTCAATGACATCTATGCCACCGACCAGTCGGTCAAGGTGTATGTCTTCGTTCTTCTTCGGGTTTGGCAGTCTGCTCAAGGCGTCGGACAAGATCATTGTCGGTCCTGGCTTGTAGTGCACGGTGAAGTTATAGCCTTGCACTTTGATAAGTAGGCGTTGTAACCTTGGTGGTGCACTAGATAGGGGCTTCCTCCAGATCATTTCTAGCGGCTTGTGATCTGAGTATACCACAAACTCCTTCCCGAAGAGGTAGTTGTGGAAACGGGCTATGCCAAACACCAGTGCCAGCGTTTCTCTCTCTATATTGGAGTAATTTTTCTGCGCCGGTGAGAGACTTTTGGATGCAAAGGCAATAGGCTTGCCATGTTGAGTGAGGCATGCTCCCAGCCCTTTCTGTGAAGCGTCAACCTCAAGTACCGTTGGCATCTCAGGGTTGTAGTACTGAAGGCATGCGTCCGCTGTGATCGATAGCTTCAGTGCCTCAAACGCTGCTTGGTGGTCCTCCTGCCACACAAAAGGGATGTTTTTCTTGAGAAGATCTCGGAGGATCGCTGCCTTGTCTGCGAGGTTGGGAATGTACGCAGACACATATGTGATGAGACCAAGGAATTTTTGGAGGTCTTCCTTGTCCTGGGGGGTGGGGAGGTTGTGTATGTCCTCAACCCGCCCTGGGTCTGGCTGTACCCCGACGTCAGAGTATATGGACCCGAAGAAACTGATCTTCTTTGTCTTAATCCTGCATTTGGTGCTGTTGAATACAAGACCCTCACGTCCGGCAACCTCGAACAGGTTCCTAAGGTTGGCGTCGTGTTCCTCGTCAGTACGGCCGTAAACGACTATGTCGTCAGCTATACAGACACATCCGGGAACTTGGTCAACTATCTCGTCCATGCATTGCTGGAATATATCCTGGCTAATGGCGAGGCCAAATGGCAGACGCTGGAAGCAATACCGTCCGAACGGCGTCCGGAAGGTGGTGAGCTCCTGGGACTTCTCGTCAAGGTGAACGGCCCAGTAACCGGCCTTTGCATCAAGTTTAGAGAAGACTCTGGCTTGGGAAAACTCTGGGTTGAGTTCCTCTAGCGTAGGGATTTTGTGGGGGCACCTGCGCAGGCTTTGGTTGAGACGCTTGGGGTCAAGGCACACACGAATGGAACCATCTTGCTTGAGGCTCGTGGTGATTGAACTGCACCAGTCTGTGTGATGCGCCACTCTCCTGATTACCCCCAGCGCCTCCATCTTGTCAATTTCCACTTTCAACTTTGGTTTGAGGTGCACACTGTATTTTCTGGGTGGGTCAATATGGGGTACCGCATCTTCTTTGAGGTACAATGTCGCCCTTCGTTTGAAACTTCCAATGGTGTCAAACTGATCTGGATACGCCTCCATCAGCTGCTCAATTGATTGTACTGACGTCAGTCTGGCAGCATGTATCGTCACGACTCCCATGTCACGGCACATGGGCAGACCTGCAATCACTGGGCCTGTGACGTCGACGACGTAGAATCTGTTCTCTGACCATGTAGGATCTTGGTATCTGCAGAGCAAATCGATGCTGCCCAGACAGGGTATCGGTGTTCCATTATATGCGGTTAACTTGGTTGTCACCGGTTTGACTTGGGATCTCCAAGTGTCTCCATACATCTGTCGTATGGTTCTGAGTGGAAGTGTGTTACCTCCAGCTCCGGTGTCTATCTTGACTTTAAGGCGGTGCTTGCCTTCAAGGTCAGGGCAAACCACATCAAGCATCCTGTAGGCTTCGTTACCCGTGTTATCGTTCTTCTTGTGGAAGTCTGGGACAGTGACAACGTGGAACACTTCCTCGTACGCATTGTCCGTGTATTCTAACTGATGGACATCTGTCTCCTGCTCAGTAGTGTTTGGTGTCGATGATTCATCCTTTTTTCGGCCCTTGGGCTTTCGTTGTTGGGGCCTTCTATCCCTGGAGGGACTGCGTCGTCTCTCCCCGGAGGGACTGCGTCTTCTCCGTGGTGACTTGGATCCTCTGCGTTGTCTGCTTCTAGCTCTCGTCTTTCTGCAACACTTGGACCAGTGCCCTTTCGCTCCACAGGCCTTGCAGGTATCATGGTATGCGGGGCACCGTCTGGGTGGGTGTGATAACCCACAGTTTCGACAAGCTCGACTCTTGGACCATATGGCGTTCACTGACGCCCCACCGGTCTCCATGGACTGTAAACTTTGCTTGCCGGCAACGATGGCTTCATACTTCCGCCCTTCGATGAGCATTTCGTCAATGCTGTAGCCAATGGGTCTGTCAAGCAGATCCTTTTGGAAGGACTCGGAGGGTGTAGAGGCTATCACGAGTTCAACTACTCGTTCAGTGAGTTCCTCCACAGTAAATTGACATTCAACAGCCTTCGCTCGGCACCTGTTGACGAACTCATCCAGGTGTTCTTTGGGCTTTTGTCGGTAACGCATCAGTTCCAAGCGGTGGATCCTGAAGTTTAGCTTCACCTTGAGTTGTTTTTCAAACAAATCCCACAGCTTGGATGGGTCGCGCTGCTCATCTTCAGTCAGGCTGGAGGCATTGATTTTCCTTAGACCCTCTTTTCCAACGGCTATCTTGATTTTGACTGCTTGTTTGGCTTGGTCTGTGATATCTTGGTCAGCAAGACATAATTCAATTCTCTGTCGGAAAATCTTAAATTCTTCTGCCAGATCACTGGCATCCCACTGCATTTCGGGGAATTTTGTGGCCATGGTTAACAAGGGACGGGCTGTGCCTGTGGGGAATCCACTATAATGGTAAGTATACAGGTGAGATAATATTGGTACTATATATTACCTTTTAAACAATGGGCATATAAAGACACAAACAATTTATGGCAATGTGATGCAATACTTAACACCAGTATATCATTATGTAAACCAAGATACAATGTAAGTAAAGTTCAGTTTGAGTCTGGCATGCAGTATTGTTTGGAAAAAATCAGTCCAGTCGATCAATACTGTCCAATAGTTCAGGTTGCTGTTGTGTGGTTCCAGCACTCCTGCAGATCCAGCTGTTTTCCGGTAGATCCGGCTGTTGTCCGGTAGGTCCTGCTGTATTCCGGTAAGTCCTGCGGTAGATCCGGCCGTTTCCGGTAGATCCGGCTGTTTTCCGGTAGATCTTGCTGTTGTCCGGTAGGTCCTGCTGTATCCCGGTAAGTCCTGCGGTAGATCCGGCCGTTTCCGGTAGATCCGGCTGTTTTCCGGTAGATCCTGCTGATTTCCGGTGGATTCGGCTGTTTTCCGGTAGATCCTGCTGATTTCCGGTGGATCCGGCTGTTTCCCGGTAGATCCGGCTGTTTTCCAGTAGATCCGGCTATTTTACGGTATGTCCAGCTGTTTTCCGGTAGATCCAGCTGTTTGCAAGCTGCAGCGTTAATCGGCGGAACAATATGACTGGTTCGGCCGTGGTTCGCCTCAGGTGAGGTCAAAGGTCAAATCCCGATAAGCGTGTGCGCGGGGGTAGTTCCAGGGTATGGCTCGCCGGAACTGCTTTTATCAACAAGCTGCACACAAGTCAATGGCGTTCACATGCAAAACGCAAAGTTATGTACGGCATGTACACTCAGTGATACTTTGTCAATCAAAAGGTTCGGACAAAACACTTACAATCGCCCTGTCCTCTGTCCGTGACTGTCGATTGCATACGCTGACTCGGTCCCTCAGCACATGTACATTTACGATATGTGCTATGCGGCAAATTTCCCCTGATAAACTGAACGGGAAAACTGGGTCGCTTCCGGCCAGTCTGTGGTCGTTGCGGGTACAGTGTGGGCTGGCGCGTATAGGCTATCACGCGTCACGTTGGCCGCTGGTGAACGGGGCTCTTCGCGTGCAGTGTCGGCTCAGTCCGATCGCTGTCGATGTCGGCTGCTGGACATCGATCCGTGCTCTGTCCGTGGCGGTCTTTCGCAGGCGTTTGGCGTTTAGCTAGCACGATGCCTGGTCGCGGCGTATGTGCCGCATTTCAGTGTCCACTACCGCTGCCACCATGTAGTGATAGCATGACAAGGTTTGTTCAGGTTCCCAGGCACTTGGACGTAGTGCGTTTATTCCGCCATGATGCAACAAGAGTATAGCCACATTACACACACACTGTGTTCATGCGCTGTGCGCACAATATGAATATGTAGTTCCACATTAATATTACAACAGGGGTTAAGTCTGATTACAAGGGCCTGATGATCAAGGTTCTCCGTCGCCATTTTGGTGATGAAGAAACAGTCCAGTCATTGCAGAAAACTCTGTATGACCGAACACAACATGAGGATGAGTCCCTCATGGGTTACTCAAGATCCCTAATGAGAATACATAATAGGATCCTAGAGGCTGCTGCAGCTAGTGAAAAGTTGGGCCTGAAGGAGATAAGGGAAAAAGTCCTTATTCGTCAATTTGTTGCAGGGGTCCGGGACCCAACTGCTCGCCTTGAACTTAGGAGACTTGAATTGGCTAAGCCAGGTCAGTCATTTAGTGACATAAGGGATTGTGCTCTTGAGCTTTTCCGGGATATTGAGAAGACACCCAAAACACGTCGGACTCAGGTTAGGGAAATTAGAGTACAGGATGATGATGATGTCAATGAAAGTGACACACCTACCGGTGTTGATCACAGGGAGTCTGCTTGTGTTCTTTCTGCAGCTGCGCACAGCGAACCAAAATGGCAACAGATAATGCAGCAACAACAAGAAATGCTTAAGTGTATCCAGGGTCAACAAGAACAATTGGCTAAGATCATGGAACATGAAGCTTGAATCGCCTCAGCAACAGGGCAATCAGGCGGCATTCAGGAGCAGAGTCATTTGCTACTTTTGCAAGCGCCCTGGCCATGTCAAGGCCAAGTGCAGGTCCTGGTTAGCAACCCAGGGACAGTCTAGTGCAGGGACAGATAACACAGAGCCAACAGCGGGGGCTTCACGAGCAGACTCCCAAGGGTTAAACCAACAGCCTCCACCACAGTAGGCCAAGTGGTGGAGGAGGCGACATCAAAGGCCTCACCCAAAGGATGTGAGTCAAGTAGGGAAACATTGCGTGAATTGTCGGTATATGAATTGCTTACTAAGCTTGTTAAGGAGAGCCCAAAGGCTCATATCACGTTGGCAGGTGTGTCAACAACTTGTACCCTTGATACTGGGGCAGAAACATCCCTAATTAAGGCTTCTTTTTATAGGAAGCATTTGGCACATAATCTTAAGGAAGTGCAATCGCTTGGAACCTACCTGCGAGTTTGTGGGGTAGGAGGCCTAGAAATCCCAATTGAAGGATATGTAAATGTCCCAATGGTGATACATGACCGTAAGATTGATGCACATTTCCTTGTAGTTAAGGATATTCCAGGGGGTGAGGCAGTTGATGCTAAGTGTTCAGTGTTGGTGGGGTGTAATATACTGAGTCAGCTGAAAGACTTCGTAATTGATCCTGAGCAAAGAGATGCTGAGGCATGGGCAATGGCTATTCAGTGGTACCGTTTAACTAAAAATCCAGTGGCAGAGCAAGATAACGGACCCAAAAAGGTTGTGAGTTCAATAATTGTCCGTACAGGCAAGAAACCGATCAACATGTTACCTAGGGAAGTACGTACTATCACATGCCAAGTTCGGGCTCCTCCAGGTGTATATAAGGGAAAAACTGTGGTTGTAGAGGGTCTGTGGGGAGAGAGACACGAGTCCACCGGAACCCTAGATGCAGGTTTGAGTGGTCTGGGTTCTGCTTGTCGCGTATATGACTCATGTGAAGAGACCAATGGTAAAACAGTTAACGTTCTTGTTGTGAATCTGGGAATGCAAGTACTCGAAATTCCCCCTCACACACAGTTGGCTAGTTTAACTGACATATCACCTAGGCCGAGTGTAGGACTGAATGAAGATGAAAAAGGGATTCACGTTTCAGTTAATAACATCCTTTTTGAGTCTGTAGGTCATCAGGCCTTCGATCATGTGGAGACAGATGACCCCACAGATCCGGACATTGAATTAGGGGGAGGAACTGAACAGGACACTCGGGAAACTTACATCTTTTCTGATTGTTCAGAGTATACTTTGCCCCGGGGTTTGAAAATCGACATGTGCGTTGGGCTTAGTAGGGAACAGCAGGATCAGTTTGTGCATTTGATTAAGAAACACGATTCTGTTTTTTCAAAGAGCTCACTTGATCTTGGATGTTGTGATAAGGTCCCACATCAAATTCACACTACCGATAGCCACCCAATAAGCCAACCCTACCGTTGGATATCACCAGGTATCCATGGACCCTGAGTCTATTAGCAAGACGGCATTCCGGGTTCCATTCGGTTTATTTGAGTACACACGTATGCCGTTTGGATTGGTAAATGCACCCGGGACCTTCCAGAGAGTCATGGAAATGTGTTTAGGAGATATGAACCTCTCAGAATTGTTGATCTACTTGGATGATATCTTAGTATTTTCCCCTACAGTTGAAGATCATGTCGAAAGATTGGACAAGGTTTTTGGGAGGTTGGCCGACTTTGGACTGAAGATTAAGGGCGAAAAGTGTAAGTTGTTCCGCATTGAAGTTTCCTATCTGGGACATGTGGTTGGATCCAAGGGCGTTTCTGTGGATGATGACAAAATCAAGAGAATCCAAGAGTGGCCGGTACCTCAGACAGCGGCTCAGCTACGGTCTTTCCTTGTTCTGGCGGGGTACTACCGTCGTTTTGTTCGTGACTTCTCAAAGATCGCGGCCCCACTACATGCAAGGGTCCCCTCATTGGTAAAAGGTAGTAATAAATTCATGGCTCATAATTTCATCTGGAGTTCAGAAGCACAGACTGCTTTTGATACTCTTAAGGAGGCATTGACGCAGTCACCTGTGTTGAGTTATCCCGACTTTACGCGTCCGTTTGTGTTAGAAGTAGATGCCTCTCTGCAAGGGCTTGGGGCCTGTTTGTGCCAAGATGATGAAGATGGCAAGAGACACCCAGTGGCTTATGCTAGCCGTGGGTTAAGGGGCGTTGAGGCCAAGTATCCTGACTATAGTTCGTTTAAACTGGAACTATTGGCCCTTAAATGGGCAGTTGTTGACAAGTATAGGGATTACCTCTTGGGGGTTCCTTTTACTGTTCTGACGGATAATAATCCCCTGTCTTATCTGAAAACAGCAAAGTTAGGCGCATGCGAAATGCGCTGGGTTGCGCAGCTAGCAGCTTTCACATTCGAGGTAAAGTTCAGGTCGGGCGTGAGTAACCGTTGTGCAGATGCCCTTAGCCGTTACCCTGGTCATTTCTCCCCCGAGGAGACCGAAGAGGTAATGCGAGATAAGTTTCATTCCACAATAGTGCAATTAGGACGTATCAGGGCGCGTAAACACCTAGAACAGACGGAAGATTGGGCTGAGAGGGCTGTAGGGCCCCCTGGTGTTTTCCCATCATGGACAGCCGAACAGTTGACTGGTCTCCAAAGGGCATATCCAACTTTGAGGTTCATTTGGAAGCGCTGGGATGACAAATGGAAACATGGGGAGACTTATGATTCTGCGCGTGGCGAGCCCAAGGAAGTAAAGTTTTGGCTCTGGCAATGGCCGCGAATCATTGAGCAAGATGGTGTTCTCTGCCGTCGCGTTGTGGATCCTTTGCATGGTGAATTAGACCAAATTCTGTTGCCTAAGAGTTAACAGCCTAGAGCTTTGACAGGATGCCATGATAAGTGGGGACATCAGGGTGTAACAAGAACCTGCTCTCTGCTGAGACGGAGGGTTTATTGGCCCAAAATGGCAGCTGCTGTGCGTAAGCATGTCGGTAAATGTAGGCAATGTATTATAGCTAAGGCTGCTGAGCCCCAGACAAGAACACCCATGCGCCATCTTATTGCATTCAAGCCACTTGAGGTGTTAGCTATCGACTTTGTAAAGGTTGATCGAGGACACGGTGGTTACGAGGACGTCCTCGTAATGACTGAAACAGATGTGTTTACAAAGTTTGTTCAAGCTGTCCCCTGTAAAAATCAGCTGGCAGTTACGGTTGCAAGGGCCTTACGAGATCACTGGTTCACTAAATTTGGCATTCCACATCGGTTGCATAGTGATCAGGGGCGTAACTTTGAAGGAGAAGTGGTCAGAGAACTATGCGCGCTGTATGGTGTAAAGAAAACTAGAACTACACCGTATCATCCGGAAGGCAACGCTCAGGCCAAGCGATTCAACCGTACCATGTTTGGGCTAATCAGATCAATAGACGAGCCTGAGCGGCGGAAGTGGCCAGCTATGCTTCCTCACCTTGTATTCGTTTACAACACAACCCCACATTGTACAACAGGTATAGCACCTTACACTCTGATGTTTGGGCGAGAGCCCGCCATTCCCTTAGATCAGATGCTAGGTCGGTCCAACAGTAGCTGGGGTCAAGACTTTGTTAATGAACAGTCCAAATTGTTGGGCAGGGCTTGGGATCTTGTTCGAGACCGGGTAGTCAAGAGATCTAACCAGAATAAGATGGCATATGACTCTAAAGCTAATGTAAAGCCCATTAGTATTGGCGCGCAGGTTTTGAAAAGAAGATGTGCCTTCAGTGGCCGCCACAAGCTGCAAGATAAGTACGAGCATGACCCCTATGTGGTGACTTGGGTAAATGAACACAGGGATGTGTATAAAATCCGTCCAATAACAGGGGGACCAGAGGTGCCTATCAATAGGAAATATTTGCGCATAGATCCCACGACCGAGAGTGATCCCGACTCTGATAAACATAGCGACGAATCAGATGACGATTCGGATTGGGAGTTTGCCCCTGAACCCATAGAAAACCTTGGAGGGGTTGGCAATGAAGAAGTAGGGGAGCCACGTTGTGGCTCTGATGAGCCATTGCCCATGCGTCAGTCTCAAAGGGTCAATAAAGGGGTGCATGGAAACCCATACCATCTTCCTTGGTCAGTGCTAAGTTAATCTGATTCTTGACTCTTTGACGTAAGTTTGTAAAATTACTAGTGATTGTTAAGGTAATATGTATGTTTTTGGATTTTTGTTTATTCTGAACAGGGCTGCAGAAAGTCTTTGGTGATAACTCTGGGGAAGGACTGGGGTATCCAGCTCTCACAGAGTGCCCGCCTGACTTGACAGCACCTCCTAGAAAAAATGGGTTTTGTCCTCTTCGGGCATAGTTTTGTGAAACGCTTGCAGATGAAGCGAGGTTTTCAGTTTGAAATTGAGTTAAAACGTGGTGTAGTTTCTGTCACATGCATTGGTGAGGGCGGTCTCACTCTAGGTAGAATCCAGGCAAGATCTCAAAAGTATTTTAATTCTCTACGGCAGGCCAACCCTTCAGTTTTAATCTTAGATTTGGGTACGAATGATTTATGTGCAAAAGAAATGGAACCTGAGCGAGTCCATTCTCTAGTTTGTCAGTTTGTACAAGAGTTACCCAAGAGGGACATTAATCCAGAGGTAATAGTGTTCCTACCAGTGATACCTCGGACGGGAAGTTTACGGGGTGGCCAGGTTTCACTTGAAGAATTTTTCGGGTGGAGAGATTCAATGATCTTATGCAACTGTCAACTTTTGTTGAAGATCGCTGGTGGTTTATGGCAGCATAGGGGACTGAGAAATCCTCGGTATATCCTCGACGGCGTTCACCTAAATGCGGCCGGAATGGCACAGTATGAAAGAACATTCGGCAGTTGGTGAAGTTCTTTGAATCTCGCATTTGGGTATAAATTTCGTAATAAATTTATGTTGCCGTCAGAAATGTCATATTGTAAGTGATAAGAAATCAAGGTTATTCGATGGTTCTTGTACTAAAAAAAAAGGAATGTTACTGTATGAGATGGCTCTCCGACAGCTTTTGAAATTCTTTGAGTTTCGTATCTAGTAGTTTGAAGATTATTGTTAGCAGACGTTCTGCAGTTTGATTTCAAGTGTATAATATAAGCAGGCATGAGATCTTGCCCATGATTGTTATTGTTTGTTTTGTAGTTATCGGAACAATATGCGTTCGAAGTTAAAGGAAAACGTAATAGTTCACAATAGCGATTTAAGTAATGTTTACAATTCATGATGAGTTGTTGTTAGATGAAGACGCTCCATGCTGTTAAACATTAATAAGTTGTTGCAAGGATAATCACAGATTGTTTCTCTCATTTACAGTTAATAAGAACCTGTTTAGGTCTCATTCCAAAATATTCAATCGATCTTCGGGAGCCGATCGTCCCAGTAGGGGAGTTTGTGGTGAAATTATTTTGAGGGGGCTTATGGTTGCGACATAAATAATGATCAATAGAGGGCGCTAAATGTGATTACCAGTCGGTCCCGAGGCCGATCTAAAAAATATACCGGTATCTGGGCAGACGGGCCGAGGTCACCGGGTCAGACCACAGGTGGCCGGGGACTAAGTTGTTACAATTGTATTTACTTGAGATGGCTGGGAGGGTTGGAGCGTGGAGTAGTTGAAAGAATGGAGGAAAATGGAATAAAGAAAATGGCTCCATAATAATTGTGAAACAGAAACAGCGTGACTGTGTTTTTTGTTCGAGTTCAGCGAAGATTTATACCCGCCCCTCGCTTCACAGCGATATACTACACTTGGAACATCTTCTCGGTGGATGGTGGGGGTCCTTGCAAAAGGGACGGTATGAACCAAAGTCAAGGATATCCCACACTTCGCAGTTATTATAAAGTCTGCATTTGACAAAGTGGTACTGCCCTTGTCAGTTTAGAAGATGTAATTGGACTTAAAAGGGAGGTGATGGCTGCACGATCTTGTCTGTAGATTTTGGGATTGGCTGGCGTGTGTTTCCGGAGGGCTCGGTGGATCTGCAGGTGGACCTCGTCAGCGATGGACTTGTAAAGATGACAGAGGCTGAGCTTGGTGCACTGGATGATCTCTTTGACTGCGATGATTTGAGGAATGGGGCAAAGTTAACCTAAGCCCAAGATCGTGATCTCTTTAGGAGACAAGAATCTGTGACTTTGCTGTCTTGGGAGTGGACATGGGCTGGAGTCGCCCCCCCCCGTCAGTGACCGAAATATTCACAAATAAGGCAATTTGTCACTTGTGAAAGCCCTTCAGCTCCCCAGACAGCCTCACCCCCCCCCCCAGCAATAAACACTCTGGTTCCGTCCTAGTTGATATTTACATGTGTAATGTTGACTAATGAACCAGTATTTCCGATATGTCCATCGCTGAGCTAAAAATATTTCCATCTACGCCTAGATTAGATGACAAATCTTCCATAAATGAAGTAATTTCAATATTTTACCCCATTTGTGTTTACAACTTTGGATCCAACAGGCTAGAATGGATCACATCCATATTGCTATTTTTGATTTTCCTTTTATTTAACTGTCACTTAGACTAAAAGTTCACAAAATCTCTACTTATTGAAAAATGTACATATATTATTATATTTATCTTGGTATAGAATCAGGCTCTGTAGACGATTTCCATGACGATTCAAAGCATTTTTAAAAGATAAATATATGAACATATACCATGTCAAATTTAAGCAAGATTGGTAAAGATATGGCCATGTATCTGGAAGATGGACCTGATACCTACCAACCCAAAGGCTAGGAATGCCAGAACCTTGATTCAGCGGAACGTTGTCTAACTAATAAAAAAAACTTTCAATTTGCCAAGACCTACCAGCTCAACAGAAGTTGGATAATCATAACTTAGCTTTATATGTTTTATGATTTGGTGGCTTTGAAGACGAAAAGTAAGCTGTAATGTTGATGATGTAGCGCCCACTATAGTTGGTTTCCATGGAAACCAACGTTTTTTGAAAGACCCATTCATGAAGAATAAGTGTGCTGAGTTTGATTAAGATCAGTCAAGGTCTGCTTAGGTTATGGCATTTTGTTTTGTCCCCTTCCAACCCTAGTGCTACGAAAATGCCTTCTAAGCTCAATCATAGGAAATTCCAATAATTGGCCTCCTGAGAGAGAGAGCATCCCTAAATTTTAACTGGTAACATTTTTTTTCCTGTTGGGAACATACCAAGAATCAAACAAATATCAATGGCGATGGGTTCGGTGGGTGGGTGGGGGGGGGGGGGGGGGGGGGGTGCACTGGGACCCCCATATCCCACGGACTACAGTGTAACATGTAAGTGGCGCACGATAATCTCAGGCCTATAAGCTATACGCCATTCGCAAAGTGTATAAAAATTGCAAAGATAATTTCTATTTTCCCCGATATTAACACAGCATTTTTCTATCTTTTTTTCTCCAGCTGGAATTCTTTCCAATGAAGATCATTGACCTTACGGCACTGTGGATAATACTCAGTAATTGAATATCATAAAAGGAATGAATGTGTGCATGTGCTTGTTGTTTTGCACTCTGGGCTTTAAAAACCTCAGCGTTATTAATAAGTGCACATAATTGTGGCAAGAAGTCACAAATCTTTCAAGTTCTCCCCTAAGATTTTCAGACTTTGGGTGCACCTCATTGATGTAGACGTCACTATGATTTGTTGCGAGGTGATGGGTTGGACTTCAGGTTATGCCAAAAGACTAAATTCAACACTGGAGATAGGCCTTCCCAAAGGACGCATTTTATAGGACACCCATACGTAAACAGGACCATGAGTGGTCCTTTAATTAAAGGCACAAAGGTTCATTTGCTTTTGGTGCATCATCGTTTCAAATAATAACACCACTCAAAATCCAAAGAACAATGTTCAAAACATAAGCTGTTGTAGTTTCAGCCCAGTGGATATTACAGTTTTGGAGAAAACAGTTCAAAACCAAGCACGAACTTTTGATCACAACACACGATTTTGCCTATATAATTTTTATTTCCGGGTGTTCAGATTTTTTGAGGTACAGTGACAGTCCATCATTTGTAACTTGTGCATTATGTTCGTTTTGAGCAACAAACGTTCTCAAAATCTAAAGAAGGGTGCTGAATTTAATATAGCTCTATGGTGCTGAACGACAGACCTGATGAAGTTTTAGCTCAGTTGTGTAATAAAAAATATCGCGTCCCGGCCACTGATCTCTATATAAAGACTGGATAGCGGATATCCATACACCAGTCACACAGTAGACTTTGCAAATTGACCAATTCGCCCCTGGTCTCATGAAGATGGCCGCGTATATATTACGAACGTTCTTTGCCTATAAACCGCGCGCGCTATATGAAGAGTTGACGCGCATTTTGGTCACGTACACGTAATATGATGTTCTAAAAAGGACACATTTTCGCAGTGATTATTATTTCCAAAACGCCGAAAAAGGAACTGCGGCCAAAAAAAAGGAAACCACGATATAAGAAGAATTGTAAACCGTGGTCAGTGGTGGTACATGGTGGTCAAAATATAAATCAAGTGAACCGCGATGTTACAAAAGTATTCATGATGCCTATAAAGACCGCAACTTGTCCTTTGTAGATCACCAGCTGCGGTCTCACCGGTCTTGGGGCGCGTACGCGTTCCTTACACTAACCCCTGGCTGTGATGATGACGTAAATGACGCTGATTGGCTATTCACAGCGTACTGCGCGCGCATTTCGAAGATTCGCTCGTAACCCCCGCCCTGCAAACAGGACGCTGGGATACTCTGATGAATTCACGCTCTGATTGGTTGGATTTTGCGTGACCAGTGACCTGCGCGTCATCAAGGTCATGACTCTGCATGGTTTGAAATGGCCGTTAAAACTGAATCATTACTCTTTTATTCCAGTTTAGAGATGTTTTTTCTCATTGAAAAAGCGTAATAATGTAGGAAATTCTGTAAAAACTTATTTGTGTTGTAAATTTACAATTCCCGTCACTCGGTCAGGCTCCGTTTCGAGTCACGAACGGTCGGATTGCATTATGCGACGCTCAAAATTGTGTCCACATGGTCTGCAATGAAACAGAAATAACATCCGGTATGGAATGTGCGTAATTCTATGGGGATAGCATTTGATCACATTGTCTAAATGCGGTTTTGTACAGCTGCAGCCAGATGCTTTATACATAGGTCATAGGCCATTTCCTTCACAAGATTCTGTGAAGCTCATCAGAGTTTCCCAGCGTCCTGTTTGCAGGGCGGGGGGTACGAGCGAATTTCGAAGATTGCACGCTGGGCGCGCCCATAATGCACTCGCGTGCTTTGCACGTAACGTCACGTACGAAAAAAAATTGTGATTCAAAATTCGCAATGCCTGTAAGATATGGATTATGGCAGCCGCGTTTTTCGCTAAAAAAAACCCTGTATCTGTTGTTTTAAAGGCACGAAAGGGGTACGTACATTTAATACAAATCTTTGCTAAATAACGCAAAGTCCAAACGTTATGTTTGAAGGATTGATTCTTCAAAATCACAACTTTTAACATTTTAAAGATGGCGTCGGCACGTAAAACGGATAAACTGCAACCCTAATTATAATGTCCCATATTTTGACACATTTAAATTACACAATTCTAGGGGTTAAGATCGCGCAAGGCTTGATGGGAAACAACATGGCGCAGCGCGATCGTACCCATGGGGAATGAGGTTGGCGGCTCCCTATTCGCTTTCCAGTCTTTATATAGAGATCAGTGGGCGCCACCCGCGGCAGAACGCGCGTCTGCACGAACTGCCGTTTTAGTATACAAATATTGAATGCTTGAGTGGTGTAGTAAAACTAGCCTCCCAAAGTAATCCATGGACATTCTATTTTCCCGAGGTGAAGCCTTGGGAAAATAGAATGCTCCATGGATCACCGAGTGAGGCTAGTTTTACTTCACCACGAGATAAAGCATGCAGTATTTGTTTTATAACACTTCACCCACAGATTCTACTTGATTTTAATATTTTTAATTACATGAATCTGAACACAATTAAAATAAACTTCAATTTCAATACAAAATTGGTTGGAAAAGCATTTCTTTCTTCCAAACCACCCCTTCACAAAATGTTTGAACCCAACTCTTTGGCGCGCTCTCTTGGGAACAATACGCGCTACGCGTAACGCTTAACGCGCACACCAGCATGCATTTGCACACAAATACCGCGCCATGGGTAAAGTATTTTAATTGCTAGTGGTATATTACTTTGGTTGCTAATGGTATAGTACCTTGATTGCTACGGGTATAGTACTTTTGGCTGTGCACTGAAAGAAAGCAAAAATAGAAATTACCATGTGACTCGCTCTCGGCCAATTAAGACACAGAATCTGTGGGTGAGGTGTTATAATCTTTTTTTTATTATATATCTATGTTGAAAACGAACTGAAATGATGAAAATTTCGGAAATACCTTCTTCGTCGATTTCTTCAAAATGACAGCTCGCCAGAAAGAATAATTTCGAAGAGAGTTTAGTCCCCTTACTATCTATAAACCAATTGTGCCGAGAATCCCTCATTATTAGCTGTATGTCCTCTGGTACTTTACAGCTCGAAAATGTTTGCCGACTTGCTGCAATTATCTGCACGTTCAAACAAATTACTTTTGTGCCATTCCAACCAGCACAGTAAAGTGTCCAGAGAATGAGAACTGAAGTTAACTTTTTTTTTCTAAGCGCACATGCACACAATCATGTAGTGTATTTCAAGGGCGGATCCAGAACACAATTGTTTTTGGGCCCTCCCCCCCCCCCCCAAAAAAATTGATCCTCCCAAAAGTGGGTCCAAAAGTTACGGCGTGGGGTTCAGGGCCCGCTTCTAGATGCTCTGTGGTGCGATCTGAAGCCATTTCTGACAAATTTGACCCATTTTTTTGGAGGAAAAGATGATGTTGTGCGCAGTGCATCCATTTATTACGACTTCACTTTAAAAAATGGGTTCTTTATGGGGGGGGGGGGGGGCATGGCCCCCGTCCCCCCATCTGCCCTTGTTGTATGAAGGCCTATTACTAAAAATTCCATACATCTTCATGCCAAAACGTTCCACAGATTTCTGATTTTCAGTCCAACTCTTATTATAACATTCATTGGTTTTTTTTAACAATCATACGCTCCATTCGATTACAGGTTCAAAGTTTCTACAACCAAAATACTGCATCTCTTTGGTTACATATGGCAATATTATGCATTTAAAACCTTTTTAACAACTACATGTGGACTGGTAAGGGTAATATCTCTTTGCTCAGAGTTCAAAGTGTGCATGCAGTTCTGGAACTGTATAAGATTAAAATTCTCCCCGTTCACCAATATTGGGGAACCATGTAATGGAAGATGATTTGTTATCTTTTTGCTTGTTCATGAAGTGGTTGGTGGATTCATCCTAGCAAATGATATCGAGGATGGAACCATCTTCCTGGAGCGAGGCAACCCTGGCATCCTGTCATGCCCTCCCGTCGCATCCGGACAAATCCCGCTGGATCAGATCGAAGTCATGTACTGGTACTCCCCTGTACTTCGAGATGAAAACATCTTGATCTCCTACTTCCTGGGGAACGTCGCTCCACAAAACGGCATCCCGGAGGGCCAGTATGACATCAATGGAAACTTCTCTCTGGTTATTGAGAACGTCACCGACTCAGATGAAGGGACCTACTACTGTAGGGTCAAACCGAGGTTAAGAGCGTTGGTTGATGGGCACGTGGCTATGCGTGTCAAAGGTGAGGGGTTCACGATTAGTAAATACGGTTTTTTGGGGTCCACGTGCTGTATTTCTTTGCTATTCCATGCCTGGTGCTTGTTTCCCCCGTTCCAAACTATGATTCGTCCTGTTCAAGAGGAAAATGCATATATATATATTTTTTTTAAAGAATTTATCCTTCTTTTTACTCTTCATAAAATTCTCTTTTTTTTGTCCTGTTGGTGTCTATTACCTGTGTCCAGGACAAATGTGAATGAAAGAAACTTGATTCCTGGACAAAGCAACCTTGTAGTTCGTATGACGGATGAAAAAAGTTTTGGAAATGATCAACTATTAGATTTGTTGTGTTCGTACGTCAATTAATACGCGATTCATGAGAGGCAGAGATTAGGGATACTTTGCTGGTTGCCTCGTATTGTATTCACGCTCCATGTCATGCAATAACACACTAGAGTACACACGTACTAGAATGTACAGACGATCAACAAATGACGTCATACACTGGTTGCACTATAAATAGATCACTGCAGTCTGCATACACTTCATCCTCTCTTTCCTTAATATGGAAGCCGTACACAAAAAAATATCATTTTCAACCCTATGAAAATGTCCTCGACTAAAAATACTGTCTATAAAGCAATGTCACACCTCGCAAAAAAATTCCAATCCTACAAACACTTGAACTTCCCGTAGGATTTCCTTCTTGTTTGTTTGTTTGTTGGGGTGTTTGTTTGTTTATTTTTTTTTAAACCCATGACATTCCAATACCGTTCAATTTCAACTGCAACCTTTTTTGTTTCAAAACTGCAACTTTAAAAACTTGTTTAAACAACTTGTTATGAGTAACAAGATAAACATTAACACAACTGTAACAACTCAAAGTGCAGTACATGCACATTTTAACTCTCATGCAGGCCTCTGCGAACAACAGTTAGGTTATTCCATAGTCTCAATGAGTCTGTTTGGGGGTTTGCTGACCTTTGACGAGCGACGTAGGGGTTTGGGTGAAGCACAGGAATATGCGGGTACGGTCGGTGTAGCCGATTGTGAAGTTTGCTCACCATTTGTGATGTTTGAGGGTGGCGCGTGTGTAAGTTCTGTCTGAGGAATTTGCGAGCCAACGACTGGAGCTGTCTCAGCGGTAGGGATAAACACCGGAATGGATGCTAGGTCAGACCTATCAGTATCTTGGTGAGCTGAGGTGTGCATCCTATTCCTTGAGTTCTGAGAATGACTGGTTGTAGACCGTTCTGCTCTTCTCATCTGATCCACGTGTCTTTTCCACACTCGACCATCCTGCAAAATCACCACGTAAGACTTTGGGGCTGTGCGCTCTGCGACTGTGGCCAGCCACCAAGTCTCTTTTCGGCGCATAGAACTCGTGGAGTTGGGTCTGTTTGTCGTGGTGCAACTTTTGGTTGCTCTGCATGTTGACCACCTTGCGTTCAACGTCCGGGCATAGCAAGGACAAACTCACAGGAGTACGACCGGTTGTTGCATGTGTCGAAGTGCGATAAGTCAACAGGAAACTGTCGATGCGTTGTTGCAAACTCCGACCACTCGATTTGCTTGAGCTGAGAGCGCGTATGAAGGATTGAACCATTCGTTCTGCTGCACCATTACTTGCGGTGTGGTACAGTGCAACTCTAACGTGTTTCACGCCATTCACCTTGAGGAACCGTTGGAACTCCTCACTTGTGAATTGCGGTCCATTGTCACTGACAAGTTGGTAGGGGATGCCATACCTGCTGAATAAGTCTCGCAGCACCGTGGTGGTTGCATTCGCGGTGGTGCTACTCATGTGGAAGATCTCTGGCCATTTTGCGTATGCGTCAATGACGATCAGGAAATCGTGACCATCTTTCTGCGCGAAATCGATGTGAATTCTGTGCCACGAAGAGCTAGGCCACACCCATGGCATTAGGGGTGCCACACCTGGAAGGTGTTTAGTCTGTTGACAGTTAGCACAGAGACGAACAGTCTGTTCGATGTCGCGATCGATGTTAGGCCACCAAACGTAGCTTCGTGCAATTTCTTTCATCCTGACAATTCCTGGATGAGCATCATGTAACTCACCAAGAATGTACTTGTAGGGTACCACAACTCTTAATCCCCACAACAAACAGTCCTGTTCCGTGGATAGTTCGTGTCTGCGATTGAAGAAAGGTTTGAGGTGTTCGTCCCTTACCTCTGCTGGCCATCCACTTTTAGTGAACTCTAACACGCGTGAAAGCACAGGATCAGTTCTTGTAGCGTGTGAGATCTCCTTACTGGTTACTGGTAGGCTATCGAGGCGTTAGTCCTCGATGTTGTAATAGGATGTGCTATAGGATGTCTGGAGCCGTCAGCGTACACATGCAGCATGACTGCTCCAAGTCCACATGGTGATGCGTCCGTTGCGAGCTCGAGAGGGAGTGCTGGGTCGTAGTGAGCGAGACATTTGTCTGAACTGATGGTGTCCTTCACTGCCTCAAATGCCCTGGTACATTCATCCGTCCACTGCCAAGGACAATCCCCGAACAGTTCGTTTAACGAATGGGCCATGGTCGACAGGTTGGGAAGGAACTGCGCTTGGAAGTTGACCATCCCCAACCATGAGCGAAGCTCCGTGACATTCTGTAGAACTGGAGCGTTGCGTCGCGTCAACCTTGTCGTCGGTTGGCTGATTCCCTTTTGCAGAAATTCGACGTCCCATGTAGATTACGCTCTCCTGCATGAACCGACACTTTTCGGTCTTCAACCTGAGACCGTATTTCTGGAATCGCTGGAAAACGTTCTTTACATTGCGGAGATGTTCCTCATCCGTCTTGCTTGTAACAAGCACATCATCCATGATTGCGCATGTGCTGTCCAGACCTGCTAGTACTTGTTCGATGAATGAATCTCTGACAGATTGCAGGACTCGATGAGATAACGAATGGAAAGTGTGTATACTGATACAGTCCCTTGTGCGTGTTATTCGTGACGTATTTTTGGGATTTGTCTTCTAGCAACATTTGCTGATATGCGCATTTCAAGTCGATTTTGGACCAGGGGTGTCGCCCACTCGCTGAAATCAACTGGGTAAAGATTGTCTCTTGCTCCATTTTGTCTCAAGCTCCTTTTCGACTGCAGGGCGAAGAGCCATTGGCACTGTGCGAGCCTTGTGGAAAACTGGAAAAGCATCTTCCTTGACGTGCAGTGTTGCCGTAACTCCACGTACTGTGCCTAACTCTGGCTGAAAAATGTCCTTATATTCACTTTTCAGCTCAGCGATTGGGTCAGATTTCACACCGTATTGATCCTGAGAAAACAGATTAGGCCAGTCCAGCTTGAGAACTGTCAACCACTCCCTGCTTAACAAGGGTGGTGCGTTCTTGTCTGCGTGGACGATGATTAGGGTAACGTTGCTTTCTGGTCGCCGTACTGAACCTCGACAACCAGTTGGCCCAAAATTCGCAATTGGGCACCCGCGTAAGTGTGTAGAACACGATTCACCGGTTGCATTGGAATGCAGCGCCCCAAATATTTGTGGTAGTCTGACTGGCTCATGATTGATGCAGCGGCACCTGTGTCAAGTTCCATTTGTATGGGTCGACGAGTCGACGAATGTAATGTCACCGCGATATGCATCATCAGTGGGATCGTGAAATTCGCGAGCGTTTTTGTCGTCTCCCACATAGCGAACGCGTCCTTTTGGCTTGGTTCGCTGTTGGGGCATGTATTTCGTAATTGGTGGTGCAGGGCCTGATTTACTATCAGACTTGCACTCTGACTGCAAATGTCCAACTTTCCTGCACTTGTAGCATGTGGCACTGTTGTATCGGCAATCATCGCGATTGTGATTGTTCAGTCCACAGCGGTCGCAATGTTTCCTTGGCTGCGATGACCTTGGTTTTGCCATTTTTGATTACGTTTGTAGTGAGAAGTCACCCTATTCACTGGCTTAGTCTCCATGGTGCCCCTGTCTCTCACATTCTTTGCAGCAGCCTCCTCTGCGAGAGCAAGATCCAGAGTTTGTTGGAAATTGTAGTTGCGTGCGAGCAGTTTCTTTTGGATGCTCTCAGACTGCAGCCCACAGATGAATCTATCGCGCAAACTCTCCTGCAGTTGATCCCCCGCAAAGTCACAATATACAGCCATTCTCTTCAAATGAGCAACGTATTCACAGATCGATTGTCCTGGCATTTGTCTAGCATTATGAAATCGAAATCTCTCTGCGACTGCCAGTCTCTTGGGTCTGTAGTGTCCCCGTAACAGTTTACTCAAATCCTCGAATGACTTTTCCTTGGGCTGTTGCGGAAAAGACAAGTCTTTAAGTGTCTTATATGCCGTTAAACTCTATCCGTGACGTCACCCTATTGTCCTAGCGCTCCATTATTTTGCACGAATGGAGCGTTGGAGGCGATACCTCTCCATTCTTTTGGAAGGTAATAAATGCCTCCATCACTCCATTCCTACAAAATAATGGAGCGGGAAATAAAGAAACACCAAAAATGACACAATGATAGTTTTGCACAGTTGCAACTCTACTACACCGTTTCTCAATGATAATTTTATGCATTTTCTTATATATATGTAAGTCAAGAACCATTTTTTTCGCACAGAATTTTCTCATAAGTCTAACACCGTTTCTCAAGTGGAATTTTATGCATCATTCGTACGATTACGTGAAATTGAGAAATATTTATGTTTTTAGATAGCATGCTACACCGTTTATCAAATAGAATTTTATGCATTTTCTTATACTATTTCTTACAGTGTTAAGGCGAAAGTCAAGTACCATTTTTTTTCTTTTACAGAATGTTCGTATATAGTAATGTTACATGCAACAATATAAACGTTTCAACGATATAAATGTTTCACAGTTAAAGCAAATGTTTTGACAAGGTTCGCAGTACAGTTTACATCTCGATCTTGTTCCTGGGTTTCAATGCCTAGCATGCAGTGCTAGAAGTTCTTGATCGGCAAGAACTCATCATCCTGAAAACAGTGTAGGTCTTTTCCATGGTGTCCAAGAACATTTGAAGAAAAATCACAAGTTCGTGCAATGTAAACCCAGAAGACTTGTAGCCGTTTTGCTTAAAAAATGCACCAAAATCTTAATCTTGCAATTTTGAGTGGTTTTAGCTCGTCCTTCCTTGTCCAATGATGAGTAGTTATAGTCTCGAGTTGCGTTGGTTACGAAGTAGTCCGACTGGAGACTGCCCGCTAGTTTGGACCTTTTTCGTGACACTATCCACAGTCTGTAAAGCCAGAATTAGAAGAAAACAAAATCAGAAAAGTAGTTTTTGGGTCAAACAATTAGACGGAAGCATAAGGTCATATTCCTGTAAACCCACTTATAAGTCTTACAAAGCCGTAAAAGGCACAGGGTAGCTTTGACAATTGCAAAGTGACGACACAGAGAGCTTCGAATTAGAACAGTCTTAGTGCAAACACGATTTCTGAATAAACTTCATCAGATAGCAAATTAAACAATAAAGTTATCTGACATTATCATGCTCAAAATACAACATTTAAATTTTTGATTTTATTACCTGTTATTTTTACTTGACAAAAAGGGTAACTTCTTACCTTTATACTCGTACATGCAATCTTAATATTCATTTGGAGTGTCGAAATGAACTTTTATATGTCGCAGGCAAAGTTTGAAGCGGCCAGTAAATTATCATCCGATATATCCACGGAGCTAGTTTCAGCAACTATCAAAGACGGTTTCCTGGCCCGCATGATAATTCCACTGTATCCCACGTACGGCATTATTTCCTCAACTTCCTGAAACTGAACACTGCCTGCCATCAGCACGCTATTCAAGAACGAATGCAAATGGTGCCTGGGTGGGGTTTAGCATTTATACCAAGCGCGCCTAGAATCCAGCATTGTATTGGTTGCGTAAGAACATATTCTTATTCGCAGTACAATTCTGTAAAATTCCATTTATACTAATGCAGTTTACAGTTACGCAATAAGACAAAGCTTGTGTCTTTGTATGAAACAAAGTCGCTCCATTCGTGCAAAATAATGGAGCGCTAGAAACAATAGGGGGACGTCACGGGTGGAGTCGGATAATGCCGCTCGGGTACCTCGGGCATTATCCTTTACTGAAACCAATGCTGCTCAACAAAATAGCCTTGCGTTTGGCAGCGTTTGCCTCTGTCTCTGCAATGTCCACAGCAACGAAATACTGATCAAGTCTCTCCAAATATGTATCAATATCACCATCCACTGGGTTAAGTTCCTTGAACACAGTTCTCTGAAAGGTCGTCATTATTGTTTATCGTAAAACGTATCGTTACTATGCGTCGTGAAAACTCACCCGTCGTTTCACACAGTTACAGTCCGTAGTATCCCTGTGCGTAGCCCGTGTGTTCAAGGTTCATCCTCGTCGCCACTGTTGTATTCGTACGTCAATTAATACCCGATTAATGAGAGACAAAGATTGGGGATACTTTTCTGGTTGCCTCGTATTGTATTCACGCTCCATGTCATGCAATTACACACTAGAGTACACACGTACTAGAATGTACAGACGATCAACAAATGACATCATACACTGGTTGCACTATAAATAGATCACTGCAGTTTGCGTACACTACAAGACTATAAAGCGAAGTTGGGTTTTAAAAGTCAAAGTTTTGACACCAAAAAAATCCGAAAAAGAAGCAAATGTAAATAAAATATGTAGCTGTTGAGTGATGAATCTATACGTGAAATAATGTAGCAATGTAATTAGCTGTCATCTTGTAAAAGATTCCGGTGACACTTAAAGCCTCTTATCCTAATTTTTGTCCATGGTATTTTGTTCATATAGTGGCTCCTCAGAAGCCGTTTCCCGATGTGACTCAATGCATTCAACGTGTCTCGGAGTCCGAATGCGAGGTGGAGTGGTCGAACGACATCAAAAAAACAAACTTGACCTGCATCGTACGGGATACCAAGCCTGCCGTGGCTCTCAGATGGCTGCTTGAGTATAGTGATGGCGGCACACAACTCATCAGCGATAGGTTCACCGTACAACTGAGTATGTATTTACTGAATCTGAGGGTGTATCACCCCCGTAACATTGTGATTGTATAACATGAGCAGGCTGTAAATTCTTAGCATGTCTTTGAATAGGAACTTTTACTTTGCACGGCGTATTTTTTTCAGGAGTGGACCTAGAAGGGTAGGGGGTTGGAAACCTCCGCCGGTTCAGCCACCGACTGATGTTGTGGAATGATGAAGTTTCCAAATTTATTATTGAATTGCCTTAAAATGCAGGAAAAATCATCGTAGATTTGAAAATCGAATTTGACTACATACGAAAAAGGGAAGGGAAGAAGGATTCTAATACACTTATTTCCACAGCTAATTCGGACGAGATGAGCATAATACGACACTTGTGACAGCGCTGCAAAGCAAGTCTGTAGGTAGGCTTATACAAGTACAGTCGTATCCTTAGCAAGTTCGTGCCATTAATTTTATCTCAGCTAGAGAAAAAATAAGGTGGCGGGTCATCCCTAGTCTGAGTATCACCCGTTGTCGGATGCAGCCCTCTTCGTATCCAAATTGCAAGGTCTGATATTATCTGAGCAATTCATTCGGAGTCACTTTTAAAAAATGTGACGTCATTTCGATCAGAAATGTTGATAAGCTATTGATTAATTAATGTGTCTGACTTGTTTTTATAATACATCAAGGGTAATACGGAAGACCAGATATAAGGCTCCCGCTGAATGGTCAGAATCAAGACGCGGTGTTGTCAGTTGCATAATTCATCAACGAATCTGCTCGCATATTAAAGACCTTTGCTGTGCAAAGTTTTTGAAAAAAATCCGAATCTATAATCTTAGTTATTATAACTAAGTTTTCACATATATAATTTCGTAATGTTGTGAACCGTTGTAATACGCCGAGTGTATAGGCCCAGACTTGTAATACGTATTTCGCCTTGACGTACGTGTCAATCCGCTTCTCTCCGGCAAGAGTTGATCTCACTAGGACGGAATTGTCCTTTTCCATATTTTCATGATTGTATGTGCTTTATCCGCTTAAATATAGCATTTTGTCATAATCATATTTAAACACTTTTCCATTGAACATGTCGGCTATAATTATCTCGTATCAACTGTGATCAAAATCTGTCATTTTGGACAAATTTTATTAGTCCCATTATGGAGAATGTTCAGTGTGAAAATTGTCACCACGTGTGTCTTTTGTGATTCCACTACTCTTTCATGGGAGCCTAGCTGTCATTTAAAGTGCATGCCCTCAACTTCATTATTTTTTTTTTAATTTTAAATTACATGTTTATACGTTCCTTTTGTAGTGAGTTTTCAACCACTTTTGTGTAATTATTGTTTGGTTTTGTATCACTGTTTGTAATTCTTTGTTGAGGTCAAATAAATAATAATAATAATAATAATGTATTTGTCTCGACGACATACTGTGTAGACGACCTTCTCTATTTATCACAAAGGTTGACTCACTGTATGTAAAGGGTGAATATAAAAGAAAGTGACCTAGCTGGATTATTTTTTTAAAGCAATCAAAGTTGACACACCAATGAAGTATGTCTTAGTAGGGCATGTTTTTCAACTCATTTGAACAAAACTATTGAAATTGAACCCTGCTAGCGAGTCACGTATTAATTAATATATTTCTTTTTAAATTACGCTGCAGAGAGAGCAGGTTTGCAAGTGCCCATTCTATTATTCCGTTTCCCATCATTTTAGCCTAGTTCCATTGACTTATATTAGCAATTACTTTAGCCTATTATTTAGTCCTCATATATTGTCTTTCCAGTGTCTTAGTTTTGTACTGATGAATTTCAAATTGGCACTGAGACCGAATACCTCTGAGCTGTCTTTTATTGAGAGGATTAAAAAAGTATTTAGTGTCATACAGTGGCTTAGCACCGGGAGCCTCAGTTTTAATTCCAATTTGAAATTTGTGTATAGGGCCTTGGCGTGAGCCTTGATGGTTAAAGCCTTGGCCTTGGCCTTAAGGGTCAAAGCTTTGACCTTGACATAACCTTACTTTGATCCAACCCAAAAAATTATATTGTGACGTTGAAAAACTGAAATGTTTTGAACTCCATAAAAAGTATAATTTTTTTTTTAAACAGCTAAAATATTGGTAATTATTGTTCCCAAGAAAGTACACCCCTTTATTACCACAAATGGTGTGGTCCATGGGGAATGCATGCAGCATGTGCATGAATCAGTATCGATCACATAGAGCCGGTTGTCGGAGACAGCTTTCACTCACCATTCGGCCAGTCTGCCGTACTTTTTTTTTTACCGCTCGGTGTATTTTCGTTGGACGTGCTTTCGGTTTGTTAGTGACTCTCATAATTGATAATTCATTTCAGCAACAGACCTTTTCTTATACCAGTACATTAAATACAAATTTGGATCTCATATTTATTCTTCAAGGCTCGGCGTATAAGCTGCCCTGTGTTTAAGCCGCAGTAAACATTTTCATAGGCAAATTCAACGTATAAAGCCGCGGCTTATATTCCGAAAGTACGGTACTTGCAGCAGCAATGAGCAATAGCATCAGCGATAAATAACGATGCCAGCATCAGCAATGTTCGACAGCATAAGCAATGTACAATTGTACAGCTTTGTAATCGCTATTCGCCAACTTTGTACAAACCGCGCATTCACTGACATTGCATAAACGAAGAGCACAAGTAATCAACCTATTTCTTGTCTGCTCGCTGCCACAAGTTAACTCACGCATATCAATTATCATGCACCTGGTGTCTGGCTAATAAAGCATACATAATTGTGAACGAGCTTACGTGTACTTGGCTTAGCGCTTGGCCAACCAATGTCATGCACCCAGCAGCTCTACTGGACGTCAAGCTCCGCCCAGCCTGCGCACGCACATAATGGTCACGCGCAGAGTCTGGCACATTCAACTCAATTCATGAAAAAGTATACAAATAATGAATGTTTATGAGTGCAATGGAAGGAATATTTTCATGAGGTAAAGGTTGACGGTTCAACTGAGTTATCGAAGTATATAGCCGAGTTATCTTTCACCGAATGAAAATATTCCTTCCATTGCACAATACCAAAAAAACAACACCATTTTCATATCGATTTTGCCTCAATCGATTCTTGTCATTTGATACTTTATGAAAAAAGTACACAGGCTTACATTTATGTTGCCTTTATTCCATGGCTTTCTTCGGCAAATCATAAACCTACTCTTGTAGGTGTCAGGGTTCGTGTCAACAATTGCGATCGACATTGCGTCAGTACGGTATGTCGTGTACGATCAACGCGTAACGCTGCCATATCATTGCAATAAGCAAAATTCATGCTCCTCGATCGATAACGAGGCGCGCGTGCAATGGAGTAAAAAGAATGGAACCAAAATGCACGATAAATGAAACCTAATTACATGATGTTCGACGTACATCATACAGCAACATTTTGTCAATAAAATTGTCAAATGATTCAATCCCATGTGACTAAATCCCGCCAATAAAATGACAAGGATCTATGTAGGTGTTATATAAAATACAATAGAAATTAACAGGATCCGCTCATAAGTCTCACGCCTCTTAGGCCCGGCGCCTCATTAGTCCGACAAAATCGTATCCCCAACCAAATAAAGGCCCATAAGTCCGACGCCTCATAGATCCGACGCCTCATAAGTCCGACACATCATAGCTCCAACGCCTCATAGTTCCGACGCCTCGTAGGTCCGACGGCTCGTACGCTTCTTTTTTCCAACGTCGGACTTATGAGGCGTCGAACTTATGAGGCGTCAGACTTATGAGGTGTCGGACTTATGATACGGCCCCAAATTAAATTGGCCACTAGCCCTAAGTTGTTGCACTTTCCACTACAATAATAGTACTGCTTTTTGGGGTGTGTTTAGGTGAGTTTTCGGTGAACACCTTCACCACTTCAGCATCAATCCCAATTGTAGCGAGTAATGTGGACAAGTACATGTACAGATGTCAAGCATACGGGGAGGCTCTGGGCGCCAGGAATGGTAGCCACGTGACGGTGACAGCCTTCTATACCCTACAAACATCACGTGAGCCTGGATATTTATTTGCTTTGTAGAGTAGCACTAGGTACGAACACTCTCAAAATTCATGGGTCAGATAGTACCGAAATCAAGATAATATTCTACCTTATGCTTTACAGGTCAAAAACGATATTTTTCTGGGTTAAAATGACACTGCAATGCACTGGATTATATCACGCTTCGGGACATTTTGGGAACCTTCGCAAAGAGTCATTTTCACGCAGAAAAGTTTCAATTTTTCCCCTGAAAAGTATCAGGTCAATTATGGGCCTGTAATGGTAGCCGCGTGTTAGGGACTGTCACCACATCTCCCTACTTCGCTAACACCACGTGCACATGGAATATATTGCTCTCGATCAATTCTACAAATTTGCTTGGTAACATCTATCCCTGCTTTGCACGCCTCGACTCATGAAACTTTGGAGCCTTTTATAGCAGCATCTAACATTATCTGCTCCAAAGATAATGAAAAATGACAGGTTTTTTTTTCAAACAAAGAAATACATTTTCCTAATATTTCCGTGCCTAAAATACCTTTTTTTTCTCCCACAAGTACTATGTATCAGTTCTGATTTTTCCTAAACTTTAAAAATTTTTTTTTTTTTTAAATCTCTTACATATTGTGCTTACACGATGCGATTTCAAATAATATTCATCAAAGTAGCTGTCGTGGTACACAGTCTTTGGTTGAGATTTCGGTTGTTCTATTTATTAATGTGTTTGGTTGAAGTTGTTTTGTGTGTGATGTCTTTCTAAAGCACATTGAAACGAATGGTAGCTCTGTAAATCTTTTTAATTGTTCAAAAATTATTTTGCTTCCCTTTCCTATGCTGCATAACGGATGGCAGGCTTCAGCGGCGGCGGAACGGGTTTGAAACTGGGGGGGGGGGCATCACCAAAAAGGGGCACTTGCAAACCCGTGCTGAAATTTCGACAGGTTTTTTTTTCACCGGACACTTGGCCTCCGTAAAATCAAATAGTGGTGGGGGGGGGGGGGGGGGAGAAGGTACCATCTTCCATCATAGGGGGCGCTTTTTTACCAATGATTATATGCTAAATATGCATTATGTGCCCCCTTTCAGGCCGTATTGTATGGGTTTTGGGACTTTATTTTCAGATTCCTCGTTTATATCAACAATATCTATACCATTATTGGGATATGGTTACTTCTAAGAAATCGTAAGATACCTTAAGGGCATTTTGTTGTATCTTGGGGGGGGGCACTTTACTGTTCAAGGGGGCACATTTATGGCCGCAAAAGGGGCACTTGGGAAAATCTGGGGGGCAAACGTCCCCCAGCCCCCCCCCCCCCCCCCCCCCCCGGTTCCGCCGCCCCTGGCAGGCTTGATTTGACATGGTAAGCTTTATTCAAGAACTTCAGGAGCAATAGCAGTAATGATCTTTCGGGTGTTTTAATCAAAATTGTCTCCTTTATTACAGAGAAAGACTTGTTTTACAATTCAATTATATCAAACACAAAGGCAGCTATGAATATTAATGAATACCTCATACTATAGTGTTTTTGTTTAACGAATTACAAACACGTATTTGCAGATTCGACATCACTTCAATCTAACACAGCTGTAACGGTGATGCCTAGGTTGGACTTTACAACTGAGGTTCATGACGCTCCAGAAGGCTCTCAAAATGACATGATTGGGCCTACAGACACTCCGGATGGCTATCGATATGCTTTTATTGCGACTGCAGTTGCTTTGTGCTTGTCATTAGCTGCCATCGTTGGTTTGGTTATTGCTGTGTGCAAGGTAAATTGGGGCTTGCGCACGATCACACAGAATTGTGTTCTTTTAAATTCGTGAACACTCTCAATTAATCAATTAATAAAAGTAAATATTTGTAACCAATATCCAACACCTTGCGAAAATTGTGTTTAATATGCACAGAAGCGTGATATGTGCACTAAATGTCAGTCAATTGTCCGAAGTTTTAAGTACATACAACTTGGGTTTCAAACATAAATCACAAAAATGTCACATTTTCAGTTTTCGCAGTAAACAAGGTGTCTGACTGTATTAAATCAATGATGCTCCTGTCTCTGTCTTGTTAATGATATCTGCTGATGACTTGAACCAAAAAAATAATAAGTTGAAATAAACAAAGCAGACTACAAAAGAAATCAAAGTCATTAATGTCATTAAGTCGTTTTGAATGTTATATTGTTCAAACACTCACAAGCCATGTCATGTGCATCCTGTCGTATATTTTCATTGTGATTTCAGATATCGAGGAGGAAGCCTGAACAAAACGAAAAAGTAGAGGTATGCCAACACTTTTATTATATTAAGTAGGTCTTACTGTAGATAATATAATATCCCAAACACAATCAAGCAGATATTTGCTTGAAAAGCACTCTGAAGATTTTGAATATATAAGCTGCTGCAATTCGACCAGCCAGAGTGCTTGAAAGAAAAGACATTAGGGGCTGATGGTTACCACTACGAGAGAGGTATCTGCCACAAAAGTCACAAGATGAGTGCAAATCATGGTGTTATGTGACGACAGAAAAGACAACTGCAGGATTGTTTTGGCTTCAATTTACGACAAAATTTGTAGGTTCGCGGCCTTAAAAATAGGATCAGCCTCAGGTAACCGGCAGCAGAACTATTTTTGGCCCTATATTTGGTCTCTCACATGTGAGCCTGGGGTTTGTTCTTGTATCTCCAGAAGAGAGACTAGAATCCACGTTTTTCACGAATATTATACCTTGCAGAAACTCTTCGCTGTTGTCTATGACAAAACCTAAAGTATCAAAATATCGCTGCAGCAGAGCAGAATAATGGCGTTCACACAGATAAGTATCATGGAGACAACTTCAGACAACTCCCTCACTTTCCTTTCAAATTCCAGCAACCTTCCACCAGTTACCATCTCATTTTCTCACACTCATACAAACTTGACTTCATCCCCACTCTTATTCAAATCAAAACTCATGAATATACAAAGTATCTCCCGTACCAGAGTTGAGATACCAATGATGTGTATTGTGTGGGTACGTTGAAGATGCTCCTAGTAGAATTATTGTGTGTGGAATGTGTCCTTATTGTTATCTTGATCAGTCAACCACGGCTTGCTAGGTTTGGGCTCTGATCCACTCATGCATATTTATACAAGGGTTCAAAAGGACAGAATTATTCACACTACCTTATATTAGCCACAGATACACAAAAAGGGTGGTTTTATTGTGACAGTACGCTTATATAGTAATAATGACACATTTATTTTCGGAAGCACTGTGGTCGTTGTAAAATCAGGGATGGTCCTAAACACGTCGAAAATCATTCTCCATGCGCGGTATCTTCGATTTAAATGACAAAACAATTGGTTTTAAAAAGACAACGAATGTCCTGCAGTAATTTGGATGGTTTTGTCTGAATTTACATGAGGAAAAATCTCGACTACCAAGGCCTGAAAACATTTGTTTAAGAAAACGGCAGCAGCTGTGGTGAAGGCCTTTGCTAGCAGTTTTGTTTGGCATGCTTAAACATATTTGTTTTCCTTTCAAAGTTGGTATTTTAGCCTTGATGGAAATAACGATCTATCGAATAACGGAAAGAGCTCACTATAGCCTATAGTATCAGTGAACGCATTGAATGACAGTTGCAATTCTCTCTTTATCTACTAGGTGCAATAACGAGAAGAGGTCTGGAGAAAATAAAGGTATGAAAACAGGTAGAATGATATCGAAAAAACTATCACAGTCGTAACTTAGAAGTAATTCTTATAGTTTATGCATGTAATGGTCAAGGCGGGATGTAAACACCATGAGACAGTCTAAACCCGCCTGAAAGAGAGAGAGAGAGAGTCAATTGAAGTAACAATTTCAAACATTGAACGGATTTCAGATTTTTTGTCATCATCGGTCAGGTGTCGTCATGCATTCGAACTCATTAGAGATATTTTGTAAATAAGATCGCAAACCTTGGTATTGCAGGAGAACCCAAGGAGACGAGTTTTGACTCCGAAGTCCCTGCCCCATTCTCAACGGCGCAGCGTACTGTGAAGCTTGATTAACTATTACGTAACATCCAATTGTACGTCTAAACATTGCAATATAAATAAAGAAAAAATTGGGAAATCCGTCGGACTAACATAATTTATCCCTTAAAATGATCCAGATTGTTCCAAACACTCGTAATTTAAGTTTCTTTTCGAAGGAATTTATTTGTACATGGCCTCTGGGAATCCTTTGTCTCAAAAAAAGATCTTTTTTTCAAATCAGAATTTAGTATTTTTGCTATAAGAAGAGGCTGATCATTGTTTATAGCTTATTTGTATGAAGCCATTATCTTGCTCTGTGTTGTTGTGTCCTGCTTATTACATGTAATAAAATGCTTTCACGGTACGGTCATTTGCATATTGTTCAATCCAAAAGATTAATTTTCGAATCAGATTTTTGGTAAAGGTTTTAACCTAAATCTACATTTTCCATTCTGCTAATAGAGGAGGCTGATATTTGTTTTAGGCATATTTAAATGAAGCCATTATCTTGCCTTATATCTTGCCAATTTTTAAATCAGATTTTTGTAAAGGTTTAACCTTTTTCTACATTTGCCATTCTGCTACTGGAAGAGGCTGATATTTTAAAGGCATATTAAAATGAAGCCATTATCTTGCCTTAAATCTTGCCAATTTTCGAATCAGATTTTTGTAAAAGTTTTAACCTAAGTCTACATTTGCCATTGTGCTCATGGAAGAGGCTGATATTTTTAGACATATTTCAATGAAACCCTTATCTTGCCTTAAATCTTGCCAATTTTCGAATCAGATTTTTGTAAAAGTTCTAACCTAAGTCTACATTTGCCATTGTGCTCATGGAAGAGGCTGATATTTTTAGACATATTTAAATGAAGCCCTTATCTTGCCTTATATCTTGCCAATTTTTGAATCAGATTTTTGTACAAGTTTTAACCTAAATCTTCATTCGCCATTCTGCTAATGGACGAGGTTAATATTTTTAAGGCATGTTTAAATGAAGCCATTATCTTGCCTTATATCTATTTATGTACAATAATAATATGTTTCCTCGGTACGGTCACTTTTACACGACTTCAAATTCCGTGAAACGATTCTTGCATTTTGTTCAAAGACGTTGTTGGGCCCCACTTGTAATTCTTATTTTGAATTTACACCAATACATTTATATCCTGGTAAATCTGTAGCATTCACATTCGTCCTTATTTTCGGGGAATTCGTCTCAATACATGTGGAGACTGGCGTTGAATTGAAAATGCAGATTTTTAAAATTATTCCTTTTCGCGCTTCGGTCTTGGTCTTGGCAATGGTTTTGGATAGTTTGGATAGGCGTTAACCTTTTGTGCTGTCTTGTTACTGAATTGAAACAACAAAGAACATCCACCTGGGATGCATGTAACGCATACGGTCCTTATTTTGCTTTGAAGTAGTTTAATGTGCGTACGTGATGTTCCTTTTGGAGAAATCAGCCCATAAACGAATACCATTTGTCTCCATTTGCCCTTTATTTTAAGAAACTAGAAAATCCAAGCAAATGAGCCATGTGTGTTCCGCCGGATTCCATGATCATCTGCACATAGATTTAGGTTTTTTTTTTTATATCTGACCGTAACGTTTCAGCTTGCAACCAAGGACATTGAATGACCGAGATAATTATTGAAATAAATGATAAAAATATATCGAATTTGTTTTTTTCGATTCAATGTCAGTCTTTAAACGAGACGAATTAGTTAAGATCAGAAATTACACGAGACCAAATATAAATTGATGTAAATTCGAAATCGGGAATAAAGTATCTTCCCATGGAATTTGAGTGATATAAGTATAACCGGGAAAGATATATAGTTTAGTTTATATTACATGTTAGTATTATATTTTCTTTGTACTAAAAGAAAGCTTAATGACTGGCCTTTCATGTCCTAGACTTTGAAAGTGATACAAGGTCCTGCCATATTCTTATTTTTTTAATCCACTCGGAGTTTTTGGCATTAAATATTGTATTTTTTTTTTTACATTTTGTATTCACCATTCTTATACACATGTAAATTGTAACGTATTTTTTTCTTTTTTTCAAATTTTGTTTTATGTATTGGAGAGTGACAGTTGCTTTGATTCATGCACTCGGCGCGTTGTTCCCACTTTGTCAGAACCACAATCCCAATCGTGTGAAGAAAAGTGATCGAGTAAGCGAAACAATAGGGGCAAATCCCACAGGTGGAAAAACAGATATTAACATCATTTGAACAATTAGTGAAGTCAATCGCATGTCAATTCCTTTATATTAATCAAATGCACACTTTTTTAAGTACGTCTAAACTCAAATTTTACCTGAATCACCTGGAAATAAAAAGTACGTCATAGGGATAGGCGTAGCCAGCGTGAGGGTTAGGGGGTTTGTGGTGGTATTAAAGGGGGTATATTTTGTAAAGACCGCCCTTTTCCATTCAAGTGCATTCCCCTCCCCCCCCCTACGGCGTTTACCCCCAATATATTTTATAACAAGTGCCTTTTTTCCGAACAAGTGCCTTTTTGTACCAAAAAGGAGTGCCTTTTGTGTGGCAGCGGTCGTTACGAGTACTTTGTTAAATTTCACGCGTGTTGCCGTGAAAAGCGCCATTTATTGTCCGTTAGTGTGCATAATCGTCTGTTTTGAACATCACCCCCATCGGAAGATGGTACATTTTTATCACGGGTGAGCGGGTGCCCCTTCTAAAGAAACGTTTACCTTCCCTCCCCCTAAAAAAATTGACCTTGCTACGCCCCTGATAGGCCCTATAAGTCATTTTTATTATGACCATTTGGCTTGATACAAGTGTTATTAGTAAATTTGTTTGTTTCAAAGCTGTTTGTAATTGGATAAATAGAGGTCATTTTAATAATAAAAGTTTCTATACAGAAATCAATATGTCGTGTTTGTGATGATTCCAGAGGGTATACACCGTGAGTAAAAAGAAAATGTCCCTTTGGATAATTCGTTGTCTCCCCAAAAAACGGGAAAGGTTACCGGTATTTCTCTTCGACCAACATTCGGCCTGGGTATTAACCACAGTCAGTATAAGATTCACTGGTAATCAGCCATGCATGAACAGGATACTTGCAGTGGCGTAGTCACGGGGGGGGGGGGGGGGGGGCGACATGAAACCTTGTCGCCCCCCCCCCCCCCCCACTGAGATTTTGAGTTTCTAAAAAAAATATCATTGATCTACATGACGCCCCCCTCCCATGAAATGTTCCAGCCCCGGAACAGTCGGAAACTAGGGACTAGACGTTTAAAAGTGAAATTTGTTCAATCGTAAACTTCGACTGAAGTGGTTATTTTTCAGACTATTTCAATCGAAAATGAGAGTGATTTTCACTCTAAAACGTCTAGTCTCGAATTTCATTCTTTGTAATTTAGAGAGTAACATTGTGACCTATGACTGTTTTTTTTCTGTATTTTGTCATTTGCTACTTTTCCAGTCTAGACTAGGCCAGGCTAAGTAAGTTGATCCATGATATACTGGAACCATTGCAAGTTGCAACATCAATGTTGTTTTCAACAGGGAATTGGCCCAAGGAACTGTTCTCAGAGTATTTTTGTGAGGAGCAGTCCTACGCAGATGCAGCTTAATTGGCTACCTGATCTGCTTGGACGACTTGTGGCGTGTTTCCCCGCACACACACTGGTTGACTCGCGTTTGATCCCAATAGGCGGGCGTTATGAATGAAACTTTCTTGCTTAGGCCCCCAAAAAAGTCTCCGGTTTCTGGTATGCGCGCGCGTCGCCGTAGCCATGCGCGTCGGCAAAATGAAAAAGTTTTTTTTTCAATACAAGATGATGTTTCAAAACCGCCAAACTCACTGGTTTGACTGGAATTCTGCTGCTGCACAATTTTAACGTGTTTTTAGAAGGGGTTATGATCGAGAATAAGATTTATGTGGCCTCTCTGGACTCCCATATATTGCACTAAGTTTAGTCGGGCACCATTTGCAGTCATCAGCCGACATTTGAAGCAAAAAAAAAAAAAAAAAAACAGGTTAAAAAAAAAAAAAAAGCCGCGTCGCCGCACCACTTTTGGGGCAAGCTCCATACCAGAAACCGGAGACTTTTTTTTTTTTGGCCTTACTCCAGATTTTTTCTAGTGTTCTGTTAGTTTAGTTTTGGAAGCTTGGGTAATTGGAAGAAGTCTCTAAACCTTAAGAGTATAGTTATTTCTGTAAAACAGGACGCCTATATGCAATGGCTGATAGAGAGTTCGGGCAGGACTATAATGATGGGTGGCTGATGGAAGTGTCCTGTACAGGGTTTGGGTAGCGTCTTTTTCTATGAAGACAAACCGATGAATTAATGAAACTCAAATCCTTGTTGATATACCTTGCTTGATTTTAAAGCAAATTTAAATGCAACTTTAATTATAGAAACAAAAAATCTCAATTTAACCAACCACAACAAAAATGAAAAGAACCCCCCCCCCGCCAAAAAATTCAACAAACAGTGGCGTAAAGCTCCTCAGCATGAGACCTCTTAGATGGCATGGGCCATGTCAAAGAGATAGACTTAGGTCGGCTCCTAAAGGATCTCCTTTATGGAGAACTTGCTGAAGGTACAAGACCTGCAGGGCGACCCTATCTCCGCTATAAGGATATTTGCAAGAGAGACCTGAAGTCATCTTGAAAAGGAGCAAACAGCTGGGAACGCACCACAGACGACAGAGAATACAGAAAGGTTTGAGTAGGGCTGAAAATGCCAGAAAAAACTTCCTGGCTGACAAAGGAGCCAGACGAAAGGAGCGGGCAGGTTCATCTCTGCATAAGCTGGTCGGAACGAGTGACCAAGGTTTAAAAAAATACAAAAACAAATGTTGTATATTCCCTTTAATGTTATAGTCTCGTAGCCATTCTCCAGTACATTATGAGTCAGTGAAACTAACCATAGAGGGCGCTCTTCAACAAAACCTTTTTTTGCGGCAGGTACCATCTTAAATTTTTCATTTTTTCTTAATGTTTAATAAGGGAATAAATGTGTGCTCCGGAGGTTTTTATCACTCTGTTTAAAACCACTTAGAGTCTGGGTGCTGATAATTACCCGAGCCGGAGGCGAGGGTAATTATCAGCACCCAGACTCTAAGTGGTATTAAACAGAGTGATAAATACCGACGGAGTACATATTTATTCCCATTCATAAATACCTTTTCGGTAAAAAAAAATCATATAATTCGTTCAAAACATCCCGATTTTGTTCAACAAATTCACTTTATGGTTTTTGAATCATCCCTCCTGCAAAATAATGGAGTGTTCAGCTGGCGAGTAAGATGAAAACAACCCTTTTATGGAGATTGACGCGCGCGTATCATGTTCTATGCGATGTCGCGCAGAACGCACCTGGCGCGTTGCGTTTTGAATTTAGAACTATAAAATTCTAACTCCATGGTAGTGTTGCGCATGCCTACGTGAGGATTGTGAACGTTCAACCAATGAAACGATAAGAGGCACTGGATTTTTAGGAGTCCACATTTTATTGTGACACTGGAAAAGTGTTTAAGACGTACCAGTTAGCCAGGTCTTTATCATCCGTTTAATACCGGCCACGTGACGGGCTCTCGACCAATAGGAATGGCTAAACTGTCTGAGGTATTTATGAATTATTGTTTCTAATATAGGCTACAACATATTTTGACGGGGCAGAATATTATAAAGTGACAAGAAGTAATGGCACCAGTGGCCTTTAATAATAGTAGTCTTGTACCGTAAAACACGCCTTTCTTAAGTACAGTAAGAGTTAGGGAAACGCTTAACTAACCACAGAGGACGCCCTCATCAAGTTTTTGGCGCATGTGGGCCTAAAGGGGTTGGTTAAACTTGTTGTATAAGGGGGCAGAATATTAAAAAGTAGGGGAAAAGGTAAATAATACCCACTCTAGTGATAAGAGCCAATTCACACGAGGCAATAATCAATGGCAGCTTAACTTCTAACGAAGAACAAATAACCTTTTCCCCATAATGTTAATGGAAATTGGTCAGATCATTAAGTGGAATTAGAATTTGCCTTCCGTTCTCTACTTGGAAATTACCTAGATCAAGCTGCTCGTCAACCGACTGGTATTTCATGGCTCAACGATCATTATGAGACGGTGTGGAGTAATTCAATTCAGTGCCACCGTGAAAAGCCTTCCTGAAAAGTTGATGCTCAAACCGGAGACGATCAGCGCCAGATAGTTTTTACATCGTTTTTGTTTATTAAGGACCGTATGCCTCACTGATGGTCGTCAGGGGCGCATGTATTAGCAACTCATGTTGTCACATTTACAGACACTTATGGCAGCAAGTAGCGGACCCAAGGGGCCGGGAGCTCCCCTACCCGGGTCCCGCCAATTTTCTTTAGTAGAATAAAAGGGGCAAAGAGGTGGGGAAAGGGAGTAAAACCCGACCCAACGTTCCGCCTACCGAGGAGTTTGGCAGGGAGTAGGGCAGTGGCGCACCCATGGGGTGGTTCCTCGGGAGACTGAAGCTTCAAAAAGGTTTCCTTTTTAAGAAAACAATGCCAAGGCAGGAAGCACCTTCAGTCATTGAGCATACTCTTGAATGTTTTTATCATTTAAAAAACGTCCGCATATAGGATTAAAAGCCATGGCCGGGTTATGGCCGCTACCTGGCTTGATCTACATCAGTGTTTTATCTACGTGCACAGCATGAAGTTGTTAACAAAATTATCTTTAAGTATTAAAAGTGCGCAATGAAAATGTTCGTGCAGACGAATGAAAGTACTCGTGCCGCAGACGAAGTGCAATTTTTAACTATCGTTACGGCATTGCAGAAACACCTTGCGAATGTTTCAAAGCGCTATTGCTCGGTTGGTTACACATTGGACTTATAATGTACCGAAGGTCAAAGGATCGAATCTGTACTTTGATAAATTTATGTAATTGAATGGGCCAAGGTCTACTAGTTGTTTTCTTTTCCTTTACGTTTCTAATCAAATGCAACTTTTTATATTGAAGTAGACCTAGGCCTAGATTCAATATTTTTGTGTGACTGGCTTGGAAGAATTTAGTAAGGGAAAAAATTCCGAGAAGCATTCCCCTGACATTGAATATTGTCAGGGACCAGACAGTTGACTGCCACCCGCAACTGAGTATCACAAGCATGACGAGTGATTTTGCACATTTGCTGTTGTCCTACAAATGCTTTCTAAATTCTAAAGAGTGAAAATTCACTCCATTCGAGTGAAGATTCACTCCCACAGTCGGAACTAGGGACTAGACGTTTTAGAGTGAAATTTCTTCGATCGTAAAGATCGAGGTTTCACTCGAGCTTTGACCGAAGTGGTTCATTTTTCAGACTATGTCAATCGAAAATGAGAGTGGTTTTCACTCTAAAACGTCTAGTCCCCAATTTCACTCTTTGGAATTTAGAGAGTTACAAGCAAAGTACGAAGGAAGAAGAGTCAAAATATGTGCATTTGTTTGTCCACAATACTTGTTATCCACTGCACTTGCACATTTACCTATTAGCAGATAGTAGGAATATGTCCGTTTTTGACGTTCTATATACAAAATTTCAAACTGTAAATGAATTCTTCTCTTTCAATAAAATTGGAACAAGATAGGTGGGTGTAAAGAACTAATGTGTTACTTTAGTAAGCGCAAAGTCCAGAGACCAGACAAAACCTCCGCTGACGTATGGCCGCCTCCGAATTGCACACATGTCTATGGGAAGACACTGGCGGGTGCTGCTTGGATTAGGGTAACAACTTTTGACCACTATGAATGATGTCACAACTGAGAGCAGGTTTATTATTGTTCCTCTGTGATATGCACAAAGTACACACAGTTCTTTCAAGCATCGAATTATTTTTTACATCCTAGTTTACAATGATTGACTGGTAAAAGATCAACAGCAATTACGATTCTAATCAGGCTTAAGTAGTATTTTTCCATTCCTGGATTAACTTTCAATTTAGTCGGCTTCTGTCAGCGAAATCTTCAAAGCCAATTATTTAGCAGAAAGAGTCTCATTATTTCTTATATCCTAGTTTACAATGATGGATGGACTGGCGCAAGATCAACTGCAATTACGAGTCTAATCTGGCTTCAGTGGTATATTTTTATTCCCGGATTAACTTTCAATTTAGTCGGCTTCTGTCAGCAAAATGCTTAAACGCCAATGCAAAGTTTTAAGTTGCAGCCATTAAATAAAGTATGGTTTACTTCCATCCTTCCTCTTTGAAATGGCTACTGCAATCAAAAAGCACATAATTGTTAACCACAGACAAGGGAGCAGTTTGTCTCAGATGCTAATAACTGGACGCTCCAAAAGTATTATAAATCAACGAACTTAACGCTTGGTCAACCGGATCAGTGCTAAAAAGAATGTTTTATGTCCTACTTTATTGTCCACAAAAGACTGGTGGTGCACAGATCGGGGCTTGTCCACAATTTTCTTCCTCCTCTAATAAAGGTTTATCCTGCCGTAAAGTTAGCTGTACGCGCAAGTTCACGAAAATAGTATTTCGGGACCGGTATACCCACATAATAATAAACTAGAAACAGCTATATACTTAATTGCCAATATTTATTTATTAGATAATAAAACGAACTCTGTATTTGCGCCAATCTTTTCCATTTCATGCCGTTCGATTTTCTTCTATAAAACAAGAAACTGTTTCCTCGAAAGGTTTATTATTAAGGACAAATTGCACACAACTATCATAGTTGGAAACATCAGTCGTTCATCGTACAGACAGTGTGGCTCCCTACAAATCTGACAAACAGGACCTGGTGAGTTCCAGTCGTATTTAACATTGAATAGCAGAGAAGATGAAATTTTAGGTAAAATTTCTTCTTGGGAGTTCTAACTCTTATTATAGCGTATAGTAATAACCACTTTATGCTTGCCGCATTATTGACATTTTCACTGTACAAAGAAGACACGAGAGATGAAGTTGCAACCAACTATTGGAGTTGTTTTTGCTTCCGCTGGTTAGTTTAATTTTTTGCTTCCGAAAATGCCCTATTGGTGATGTTTAATTCAACTGCATGTGTTTTGTGTTGTGTTTCCAACAGATAAAACTGAAATTATTCATTGAGTCTTTTTTCACATTTGTCATTACAGGGACAGACCGCCGTCAATCCCTTAACCATCTGATCATGGCAACTACTCGGTAAGTGCATAATCCCTCATGCGCAATAACTGATGGCACTTTGATTTTGACCATGTCTCCCTTTCGTTTTCTTGCCATTAGAACTGAGTGAAGGTCAATTTCCTCAGATATCAAAACGGCCAGATCTCACAAGATTCGTTACTCAAAATTATTGCAATCTATACAAGCAAACACGTTTTTCCACATCTTTAGAAGTTGATTACACCGATATATATAGTGACAACTTAACCCGAATATAAAGAGCTTATATTCGGGTTTTTGACCGAGCCCGTACCGGGATTTGAGCTCTTAAGTCTCTTAATTGAATGGCCATCGACAGCAGGAAAAAATTATTATCACTCGACTGAATGACTTGCTACTTTCTCCTAAATACCGTTTTGAGTGGCCTAAACGCACACAGACTAGACCGGACACTTGGCCTACATAAAACCAAGGTGGAGGTGGAGGTGGGGGTGGGGGTTTTCAGGGGCCATATTATTGTCATTCAAAGTCATATATATAAAATGTATTCCAAGTAAATTGTTCTCATCCAAAAAGGATAATAATATATTGTGACACAAATATCATCCATTGAAAATCATCTACTGAAACATTTCAAAATATTTATTTTAAATAATTAAACGGTAATTTAAAGTAGTTTTTACATTCTACGTTTTCCTATTCATTGTTTAAAACAATCTTTTTATATATAAATTTAGCATATAAGCGTGACATTTATTTGGAGATTTTTAGCAACGCGCACCACCATTTTGAAACGAAATATCAATACGAGGAAAAAATGCAGCAAACTTCGAGGTGACTATCCAGCTCGATAATATATATTGAATTTTGTTGGAGACATAATAACTACTGGTCAAAAATATTATCTTTACGGACACAAAAATACAAGTTTGTGTACAAACCTACGGGAATGTAGGTGCGCATAACGCACGTTTTGCCCCACGCACTATTATTGCGCGTAGAGCGTCCATGACGGTGTCATATAAAAATCGGACTCGTACGAAAATTGGACTCTTTTTTCTTTTATTGGTTAAACCCTCTCACGTGACCGGTCCCTCTCCTAATTTTCTATGCATGAGCATGCGCAATACCACCAATGAGTCCGTATTTCATAAAACCTAAATTGATGCTACAACGGAACGGGAAAATTTGTGCACACTCAATGGTGCGTATGCACGCGCTGCCGATCTAGTCTCTTTATTCTATATCTATGGTAATTATACAATATTTCACAAGCGACTCTACCGCGATCGGTCAATACCGGAGTCTTATGTAGCGCACCTATATACCAACAATGAGGTACTCAAGGCACTGGCAATTATGTCTATTTGAAAAGATACCGGGTGAATGACGTTTATGAAAAAATGCCGACACCCTTTATGTAGCATCTTTATAAGGGTTTACATGGTGCCTCTGTTTCTGTTTCTGGGTTAAGTGTTTGTGATGATAAGAAAATGCAGCAATGATAACTTCAGTTTTATTCGCATTTAGCTTGAGTTTGTAAACATAAATACATTCAATTCTGAACGTCAGTGATGCAAGTTGACAATCTGAAAAGTACACGGTGCAGCGATGTACGGTGTCCTGTCGCTGCGGTGTTCAATTTGCAGTGCTTCCACTTTCAAGAACATTTCATATTTTAAGGAGTTTTCAGACAATTGATTACTGTAGTGAAACGTGTTTACGAGGCACCGTACAATTGGCACACAGCCCAGAATAATGTATACAAACGCGCACTCAGTGCCGTGAACGCGCGAATATCAGCCCTTTTCTGCCTGCACACCAAAGTGTGCAATTTAGAGGCCTATACACTACACGGCCGTACACTGGCCAGGCGTTCGGGGAACCTGATTAAAATATTAGAACCAAGAATATTAGGAACCTGGAATCTTAGGAACTGGGGCAACTTTAGAAATACAAACTTTGTAATTATAATTTATCATTGGCAATGTTATTACAATTTATAGAGCTGGAAGTTGAATCTAAGTTATATGATTTTGTAACACTTGTTTTGTGAGTTTAGATTGAGATTCAGATCCAGAACTATTGTAATTGATTTTGTTAACAAGTAATCTGTAAAAAGTTCATGAAACCAAACATAATTTAACTCCTCCTAGTGTTTTGATTTTGTATGTTTGTCTTGGTTGTTCTTGGCGTCCTTAAATCTAATCATTTGAGCGGACCTCTTTAATGGCGTACCGCTACAAAAGTGGCGTCGTAAACAGGAGAAAAACCGGAACTTTTAAAGAAATTCAAAGAAATAAAAAAAACCAAATACATTTTTAAAATAATTTCATAACCAAACAAATTACACTTTTTTTTAGATCCTAAACTACTGTTAATACACAGAAATCGTTTTTACAACATTGTAATTTCAAAATTTATGTTTAAACGAAAAACTTACATTGAAGATTGCAACACAGGGTATGAAATAAAAAACTATTCTTTCTGATCAGTTTTCAGACCATGTTGATTGTGCTGACCTTTACCGCTATTGTTGCCGACTGCCTCACCAATCCTAATGGTCTGGTTCCCGACCTTGCCGACCAGGACACGGAGGATAATGCACAACCGTTTGTTCCTGAGGAGATAAATCTCCATGCTGACGGGCTGAACGATGCAGCGGATGACGTCGTTTCTGTCTCCGAAAGCTGGACCAAGATTCCAGGAGTTTTAAGAGACATCTCATCAGGTTACTGTGGGGTCTGGGGCACGAATTACAAATCCATGATATACTATCGCCACAACACTTACGGTAACACTAATTCGTTTGGTGATAATTGGATCCAAGATAAAACTGGGAATCTTGAAACCGTCAGTGTAGGTTACAACAGTGTCTGGGGCTTTAATGCTCATAGATCTATCTTTTATCGTAACGGTATCAGCGCTAGTAAACCCATGGGTACCAGCTGGGTGTCCGTATCTGGTATAAAAGCTCTGTGTTTAAGTGTGAGCCAGAAGGGTCACGTGTGGGCCGTGGGAGGGGATGCAAAGGTTTATCATAGAAAAGGGGCAAGCAATACCAACATAGCGGGAACAAGCTGGGTGGAGATCAGTGGGCCAACAGAGAGGATGGATATAATTACTGTGGGAGAAGTAGGTGTCTGGGTGAGGGATGTTCAAAATTCTACCCTTTTTAACCGAAAAGGAACGTTCGGCGACCCATCCTCAGACCCGGACGGGTCAGAGTGGGTAGCCTCAACAGAGGGCTTTTTCCTAGAGAGCCCCTTCCTTAGCTCGGGAGTTGACAGGCTTTACGCTGGCAATTACTCATATTCGGCCACTTCCTATTGGTATGACGTTTGGTATCTTTGTGGAGTGAGCGCCTCGAAACCAATGGGTAAGAAATGGGTCAAGGAGGATGAAGCTGTGTCTAGGGGCTTGTACAAGCTCAGTTACCACAAAGATGTGGCTTGGGGCCTCAGCTTTTCTGATCATGTTTACGCCAAGTCTGTAAGTGCGTGCACTTAAATTAGTATCCACAATTTAACCCAGGAAGTATGCCGACAAAACAACCACTGACAAGCAAGTTCATAGTTTCATAAATTAAGTTCAAGTTGGATTAATATAGGTGAACAGCGATTGTTGTAATTACATTACATATTTGGACTGGATTTTGTTTTAACCAAAAGTTATCATGAAAGAAATCTGCATTTTAGCAGTTTGCCTGGAAAACAATTCTATAAGCTAATCCGATGATCGCAGACCTACTTCATAGTTTTTCTTTTCAAAATAAAGTGCGTTTTCCCAGGACATTTCCAAAGCATTTACGGCCAACGTGTCAGTATAAAAAGTTATGTTATTCCTTATGATAACAATGTCAGGATTTTGTTCTTTTTCCTTTAACTTTTGCGATTGCTTATTAAAATTGCCAAACTTCGAAATTTTATTATATTTGGGTGGTTATGATTTCGTTTGGATACAAGAATATTATTAATGTTTTAGAAAAAAAATAAGCAGCTCCATTATGAAAAAGATAGCACAGTAGTCAACATTCAATAGTGACGCAATGGAGTGTTATCTCAAACTGTTATATTTAATAAATGATAATTTTAATATTGTCAACACCCTCCAGAGACTTTAGTTTTCGGAATGTGTGAAATGGTAGCTGTACCATCGAGTATGTGCAAAAACATTCACACAGCAAAAGACACACTGTTAATACTTCACATTTTTGGGTGAAGGCGATTTCAATGAAAACCATATTTTCTCCCTGAAGATGGAAGAAAAACATCGAACCAGTTACGTAACAAATCATGAGTCAATGAATTGGACTGGAAACTAGTACAGGGTTTCAATAAACGTGTGAATTCCAGTAAGATATCTTTTTAGTACATCAACGTTTGGTTACAATTTTTTGGTTCTTTTCATTTTGGTGGTTGGTTGGTTAAAATTTTGTGATTTTTTTTTCGTTTCGATAATTGCAGTTTGAATTTCATTAAAGTTAGATTAATATCCAGCAAGAAATATCAACAAGGAATCGAGTTTTATTCGTTCACTGGTTGTCTTTTGTAGAAAAAAGTTCATCGGCCAGGTCTCCCTTGCTGGTCACCTAAGCCTGTAGCCTCCACCAGTTGCAGGTGGGTAATCTCGTCCACAATTATTGGGAAGGAAACACAGGGCATCGTAAGGTTGTTATTTATTGACATGATTCATGCAAAAGTCGGATTGGACAATCTCCAACAACAACAAAACAAAAGACAAATTTTAGTTTCATGTAAACATTGGAAGACACCCACCAACAATTGCTTTGAAATTATCTTGTGCCCAATAAACGCGATTTGATGTGGATATTACGTTGATTACGACGACTTGAATTTGAGTATCCTTCGTGAAAAATATATTTTGTCTCCATATAGTACAGGGCGCAAGGCCTGTAAGGATTAATTAGGCCAAAAAAAAAAGTCTCCGGTTTCTGGTATGGAGCTTGCCCAAAAAGTGGTGTGGCGACGCGGCTTTCTTTTTTTTTACCTGACTTTTTTGCTTCAAATGTAGGCTGATGACTGCTAATGGTGCCCGACTAAACTTAGTGCAAAATGTACGGGAGTCCAGTGAGTCCACATAAAGCTTATTCTCGATCATACCCCCATCTAAAAACGCGTTAAAACTGTGCTGCAGCAGAATTCCAGTCAAACCAGTGAGTTTGGCGGTTTTGAGACCTCATCTTTTATTGAAAAAAAAAACTTATTCATTTTGCCGACGCGCAGGGCTACGGCGACGCGCGCGCATACCAGAAACCGGAGACTTTTTTTTTTGGCCTTAGCGCATTGAAATAAAAACAATGTTTATAAGAAGAATATCAAAAATAACTAGAGATATATTTCTGTTTGTAACAGAACACAGGCTTTGTCCTCAATATTTCATTCAAAGCCTATCCATGTACATCGTTTTAATCGAATCGGACGGTTCTTTAGATTTTTTTTAAAAAATGTGCACCTTTAAGACTACGTCACAGGACCCGTGATCACCTGCCCACAGAGTGCGCTCGAGTAAGGCATGACGTCAATAGTGAGATTTTTTAAAGCCTACCCTTTTCAGAGACTGACATCGTTGAAAGCAATTCACATTTTTTCAAATTTAAATTATAAGGTACTTCTAGTTTGGGCCGGAAGGAATGGTCACGTGATCGCGGAAAATGTTGAGGGGGGTGGGGCGGATTCCGCCACCCGGCCTCTTTAGGGTTAGTGTCCGGAGGAAAAAAACATGTCAACATTTCGGCGCAGATGTGCGGTTGCCCCAATCCCCCGACACCCAAAGCTGGATACGTTACTGGAGCCGGACCGGTATGGAGGAGGGGGAACCGGGCGCCTCTGCGGGGTGGCCCCTTCCCCAGGGGACCGCAGGCCGCTGTCCGACGGGGTAGTCGGATAAACCGTTGTTCGCGGTCGATTCGAGACCGAGACCTAGCCCGGGCGTCCCTGGCCCCGAATTCTGTGGGCAACACACTCCGGCCGCCGTCTCCCCCACGCGGGGCCCTGGCGCGGCACTCGGCGGCGGCTTAAAAAAAACCCGGCATGGGTCACTCCCTCCTACATTCGGAAGACAGCACGGTGGCCGGCCCCATGCCCACCGGAGCGGGGACCGGCAGGGGACAACCTAGCCTTTAGTCAAGGCGTGCGTGTCTACCTGGACGCGTGGTGCCCCAGATTCTCTCACGTAAAAAAGACCAGTCGAGTGGCGAAGCGGCTTCGCCGCTCGTGCTAGTCGTTTTACGTGCCAGCATTCGGTGTGCGTCATGTGTCCGGATAAGCGCGTGGGACTTGACTAAAGACTAGGGACAACCAAACCCCGACCCCTTGGACGGCGGGGTTTTCTATCTCTGATCGGTAATGTTCCTTCCGCAGGTTCACCTGCGGAAACCTTGCTAAGGAAGCTCTGTAGGCCGCGTCCCAGCAGCTATAGCAGCGTGATATTCAGCCTGTGGCTCGTCCGATGATAAGTTGCAAATTTTTAAGCCCCCTCCAAAACAAAAAGGTTCTGCCCACTGAATAACAACTAATAACGCGGCATGCATGGCCGCCAAGCAAACAAAACTATCATAGACCTCAGTGATAAATAGCCCCACTACTCATTTTTTTTTTCTTCACGAAACGAAAACTCTTGGGGTAATCCGATGTCGATGACGTTTGGGAGAAAATTTTCATCCAGAAATGTTCATCCCTAGAAGTAGTCAAAAGGCCATCGCCATTTAATAAAAACTGATGAGCAAATTCATGGCCTAATATCACCGAAATTTCACAGATATACAAGGTCGCAATCCTCATTACGGCTTCCCTCCTGTTTTTCATTTTTTTTTATTTACAAATCCTCAAGTTCATGGCCCACAATTAAATGCTCTAATAGCAAAGCAAATGAATGAGTGCATACAATTAGTGATTTGGTACGCGTTGGCCATTTTGGGCCTATTTACTGGCCTGCACCCATCAGTTGGGAACGTTGCCTGCCATTCGCTCGTACCCCCGCCCTGCAAACAGGACGCGCAGATACTCTGATAAATTCGACCTCTGATTGGTTGGATTTTGCGTGACCTGTGACCTGCGCGTCATCACGGTCATGACTCTGCAAGGTTTGAAACGGCCGTTAAGACTGATTCATTACTCTTTTATTCCAGTTTAGAGATTTTTTTGTTGAAAAGCGGAATAATGTAGGAAATTGTGTAAAAGTTATCTGTGTTGTAAATTTAGAATTCCTGTCACTTGCTCAGGCTCCGTTTCGAATCACGAACGGTTGGATTGGATCAAAATTGTATCCACATGGTCCGCAATGAAACAGAAATCACATCCGGTATGAAATGTGCGCATTTCTATGGGGAAGTCTTCGGATAGCATTTGCGCGCACTGTCGAACTGCGATCTTAAACAGCTGCAGCCAGATGCTATTTATCAAAGGTCATACGCCACTTCCTTCGCAAGTTTCTGTGAAGCTCATCACCGTATCCTAGCTTCCTGTTTGCAGGGCGGGGGTACTAACGAATGCCTGCCATCACACACACAACTCTGTCGATAGGTGGCGACATCCCATCGTATGGTATTGCCCTCTTCTTGTCCAAGTCTCACCTGGAGAGTGCGGTGTGAGGAAATTGGTTCTCCCCATGTCGGATGATGAACAGCTATGCTAGGCTGTTGCACTATAGGACGCCCTCTATTCGTCATTTTGTTGTTTGGTGCATCATATCAAAAGAAGCGGGATGAGTGGGTAAATTGCATTGCATGAGCAAGTCAGGAGTTTAAGTTTGAAGGGCTGGTACCATCTTCAAATGGGGGCGCTATTCAAACCGGACGATAATGCCCACTATCGGACAATAAATAGCCTTTTTGTGGCACAATTGCCGAAGGTCCCTCGAAATTCCTAATAGGACACTTAATTGTAAAAGGCACTGGTAAAAATGGCACTTTTATTAGAAAAAGACACTTGTTCAAATTAAAAACAAGGGGGAGAATACTCCCCTTATACCCCTCCCCTCACCCTCCCGCTGGCTACGCCTCTGGGGGTAGTGTTGATCGTGTGCTGTGATAACTGGTCATGCAAGGCAGTGGTGTGTGATTGGACGTAGTAATCCCAATCTACCTGTACAGAGAACATTCCTTTACTGATGAAAAATTAAAAAAATAGTTCAGCACCATTTCTAAGTATGCCTCAATGCTTAGTGTAGTCCTTGTACCATGAATACTGGCGATAGGCACACAGTATACACTATATTTAAATGTACATTCTATCAGAAACTGGTAGTATTAAAAGCTGTGTGCCACCCGTCTGATCTGATTGGTGACTTTGGCACATGCAAACCAGTTAGCAGATACTATTGGCACAACTTGTGCCAAAAGCACTATACGAGTTTGCATGTGTGGCTATTGTGAGCTGAAAATTCATGCCTACAACTCGTTTGATGAGTGTTTTTGTATGCCTACAACAGAACCGGTTGTGTGAAAATAGTACATTGATAATGCACACTGATCTAGATATAGAGCATATCTTTACTGTCCTGCGTGTAAAATGTTCTTTCTACATGTCAAATGCATACCAAGCAAGCCCAAGTGGCCACATTTACTATAAGTCAGGCATATTTTTGTCTACATAAATTGCTTGAACTCTCTTTTTCAAATTTCTTTAGTTAATTTTGGTCGCAAACTGACTATCACGGAAAGTGTCCTTTGTATTTGGGTATGTTTATGGATCCATTGAGATGTATTATGATTTCTGAATTACGACTCGGTACAATAAATTGCATGTAATTTTCCTGATGTTGGAAAGTTTCAAAGACGGTAGGAACCAATGTTTCTGACAATAAAAAAAGTCGCAGATCAGTAAACATTTATCATAATACATAATTCAACGAGTCACACGGGTTTCTTATTCCTTATTTCTCACCGAACCACAGCGATGAATCGTCATTGCACAAATTATCTTAAATCCCTAGATTACAGCAGATCAACCCCCCAAATCCACCCCCCCCCCAAAAAAATTGCTTATACTTCTGCAAATTAAAAACCCCATCCCAGTCCCAACAAAACCCAGAATATCCAAGTCCGGATAGGGTTAAGAATCTGTGTTGTCATAATCTTCTCAATGTGAATTGTGTTTGATTGAATTTCGAGTAAAATGCAGCAGCTCCTCTCCCATGACTGTTGATACAGAGGGAGCCTCTTGAATTCGAAATCTGTTCCAATCAGGAACTACGAAGTTCATGTTGACAGAGCTCGTTCGTTGGATGTAATTTCATACAGGCTGGTAGTGAGACCCGGAAAAATATGTTGGTACGTTTAAATTTTCAACAAATTGCCATATGATATTGCCAACTGTCGATGTCATTTCTGGAGGTTGTTTTTTCGACATCTAAAATGAGCATGCAATCTGCGTTGACGTTTAAGAAGTTAAAGCACTGTATATTTTTGTGGGGGGGGGGAGAGGGCGCTTTAAAGAATTAATCAAAAGGGTGCTGATTATTTTCATACAGTTAAGTTAATTGTAACTTCATTCACGGTGCATTTAACATGATCATAAAATTGCATAACAGTGCAGTGCACGCTTTTAATTTTTTGAGGTAAACACAGCACTGGCGTGTCATCTGTACGGGGAGAGTGAAACAAAAAAAGGAAACCAAAATGGCAGGACCAGTTATTTAATGAAGCTCTGCATATAGCACCTTCTCTTTCAGCAAAACGAACACAATTCACATGGCGATGTATGTGAATTGTTTTCGAATAATAAGGGAATAAATAATGTGTTTGGCCGGTTTTGAACTAGTACGTTTTTATGAAACCGGCCAGGCACATTATTTATTACCAGTCATCGATACCTTTTTGGTAAAAAAATTAAAATAAGTCAAATATAAATAAATCTTCATCAATTTTATTCAACAGTTGTACCTCTTGTTTTGAGAAACACCCCCTGACCATGTCTATTGTATGTGCCTTGCGCGCGTAGTGCCAACAATTTCCTTACATGGAGATTGGTGTGCAAGCGGCGCGAACCGCGTGGCGCAGAACGTAGCGGTGTTTTACCAGCGCTTTAAAACTACCCATGTGTCATGGTAAACTGTCTTAGGTATACTATACTGCACTGGGTAGTTCTTGAACCAATATATGAAACACCATCACCCATTATGGAATGACTAAATTTCATTCTTTGGCCTTACAAGGGCGCCTCGTGTTAAGACAAAGCAAAGGGCAAATGGCGTCCAAAACAGTACATTCTATTTTAGAATGGCAAGAACGTCTGGCCTTGTCAGCGTATCTCTAACATTTATTGCCACTGATGTTCCATTTTAAAATGCTTACTAAATTACGCCATTAAGAATTAACTACAAATTGTTGCATGCCACTTTATCTGAGGTAAATGAAAGTCATTGAAATGCGAGCTTAACATTAAATGTGTTTAAAAACCAAGTATGATTCTGGTCTTGCATGCATGTCGTTGGCTCGTACTTTCACTGCATATTAGTAAAACAATGTGTGTTTGTATGGACAAAGACCCTCGAATCTGAAATCCGATTCAAAACCAGGAACTCTGTTTTTATTGTTTCCAGAGCACGTTTGCTGGATATATTTTCATACAGACTTGTAATAACAACCGGAAATGTTTACGACTTAGTATGCTTACATTGTCTAAGATTTGGTGTTTTTATGGCATTATGTCACACACTTGAAGGTTGTTTTCGTAAACATGCAGTAATGACCATACCATCTGCGTTAACATTTACAACGTGAGACAATCGATGTATTACTTTTGAAGTATCTGAAACCCGGATGCTTGATACTGTAAACACCCTCTGAATCCGCCTTGACTCAACTCCTGAAGACCCCCCCCCCCCCGGCCCCGGCATCAATCCTCCTCACGCGTGCCAAGTTACTTCATTGGTTTTGCCTTATGGACCAGACGTTATTTGTGGATGCAGTGTTATTCATAAAACCAAATTCGTTTCCTTAAAGGATCATCCGCATAATCATCAAATGTTGTGTGGTGCACTGTGAACGTCTTGTACAAAAACTAACCATGCTGGTGTTTACGTGACGTTTGCAATTTTGGAACTTTGCCGGTGCGGGGAAGTTTGTTTACATTATATTCATGTTTTTTTTAAATATTTATAGACACTTTGACTCTATATAACACCATGCTGTGAGTGTAAGAGCAGATACAGTTCTAAAGGTGTCGCACCGCATCCATCGCGTGATACAACTGCTGCAGGAGATTGTCTGAGCGAATCAACTTCATACAAACAGCAACGATGGCATCGAGTTGGATTCTTGCTGTGCTTGTGGTCACCATACTGTGCCGTAAGTATGACAATCAAGAATTCATAAAACGAAATTAATGGTTGTATTTTTATTGCCCAGCGCATTGGTATACTTTTGTATCAATTGTTTTCTTTAAGTATGTATCTTTAATTAACGCGATAAAAGTTCGTTATGTGTGTTGAATTTACTTTAGAATATTTTTTTATGCTTGATAAGCTCAATGGATCATGGACCGTAGGGGGTCTATTCATGAAATAGTGAAACTGTTTCGTCTTTCTCGAATTTATCTACTCAAACACGTGCCTGTACCTGTCTCTTACATACGTCAAAGATTGCTTGTTTAGCATTTTCACCTCAAAACATTAAACGATGCTTCATCCATAATTAAGAACTATACCTTGATAGAAATGAGCGCTTATCATAGCATGTGTTTTATCCGGTGTTTTATGAGTTTTAATAACAAGTGCGAGTGCATATTCAGCTTTGACAGTGTTGCAAGAAGTCTTGCATGAAAGTCTTGCATGAAATCGATCAAAATGATCCCTGCCAGAGCTTACAAATGCGACGCCGACAAATGCGACGCCGATGGAACATATGGAACCCCATACTTTTGGTCAATTTTCGGGGGTAAACAGACAGACCGACCGACCACCAAGTGACATGTAGAAGCTCCTGCCAGAGCTTAAAACCTGCAGTGGCAGCCTCGTGTTTGTATCTTCGGTGAATTGCCAGTAATTTCGTTTGTTGAGAATTGAATTTTCGTTTCTTTTTAGGGGGTGAGAGGGGTGGCTAGAAGTTCACTTTTGTGTCTACTTAATTCTATCTGTTAATAAAACTCATGATCCCCAAAATGCGTCGGCATTGGCTCTTAGAAGCCGGAAGAAACTTAGGAAGAGAATAAAGTAACGGTCCGTTTTAGACTGACGTAGGAGATAAAACTCTGGAAAGATATTCAGGGAAAACAAAAGATTAAGGCAGGGACGTGAGAACCCAATTCACCCGTTGGCGTTCTTAGGTGGGATTTGAGCCCTAGTCACAGAGATGAAAGGCGAGTACCATTGCCCGACAGTCTGATCCAGCCGAGTGTAGTGATTTCTAGCTATTAGCATGCCTGAACTGTGTACACTTCACCAATCATGATTTGTGTTTTTAATTGTTTTACAGAACTCTCCTCATGTCACCCTGTCAGTGGCGGATCTGGACCAACCCGTGTAGGACACTCATTTTCTTCAGGTAATTTACCAACCATTAAACGTAAAGGAGACAGTACCTTGCCCTTTCAGGACCGATATAAAGGGGCGCAGTATGCCCCTCCAATGCTCATCATAATTGCTGCGGAACGCCATGAAATGTAATCATATTTAGGCCACTATGGTATCCAAACAACTCTGTGGACATCATGGTTGCCGAGTCAACTGATTGAAAACCTTAGCTATAAACTTGGGTCCTTTTCTTATAAAACCATGGAAATGTGCAATTCATGGATAAAAAATACTTCGACCAAATATATTAGCTTAGCATTGAAATTCATGGACACGCGATAAACTACAATGCAGAATGAAGAAATACCAGGCAGTAATAATCAGTATATCGTTTGTTCCGATTTTCGGTTAAACATGATGACCTTATTCCAAAAAGTCAGTAAAGTGATACAAATTGACAAGACGATTTGTACCAAATTTGGAAGCATTTAAATGAAAAGTGTATGTGTTATGTACAAAAAAAGGGCCTTTTACAGCATAGTATGCGGCTTGTTAAATCCCCATGTTGCATGCATATTTCATCTGACACATTATGGACAATGTTCACTTCACATCGAAATGTTGAGACGTATGCATGTGGGTTTTGTGCAATAACGCCCAATACGAGGAGTCTCCACCACCAGCGACGCCAGTGCAGATCGAGTGACATGAAGTTCTGATTTAACCTGTTGAATTGGTGAATAATTAATTCCTTATTATTTCATTAGCACCATGCAGCCCAGAGGCCTTAGGGCTCGAAGACAGAAGAATCCCTGATAGCAGCATGACGGCATCGTCCGTCCATCGTAATGGCCATCTACCAAGCCACGCTCGACTTAATGTAGGTAGGTCTCGCATCATTTCTATAAACAACAATTCTCTATAAATACTGGGTGAGTAACATAGAAATTTAAAGTTACTTGAATTAATTAGTTTCCCCCTTAAAAGCAATTACATTGTATACACCAATGAAGCGTGTATTAAACGAGAATTGTCTTCCACTTAGGAAAAAGGAATTACTGAAATTGATCCATACTCTCAGAATTATGCATATATGTTTTATTAAAAGAACCCATTTTTACAGCTGTCCGTGAAATGCTAAATGCGTAGCAGCTATATCAGCTAATTGAGAACCTGAGATTACACATGCACAAGTATTCAAATACAAATTACTCAAGTCAAGTCTCTCAAGACTCAATCATTAGTTTTTGTCAGACAATGTGTTTTGCTTATGAGGAACAAATCAAGTCTGTTCCTCCAAATGATGATGGTGATATTTGTCTGTTTTCCTGTGCAAGTTTTCGTTCTTTCATGGAGGTAGGAAAAACCCCATGGATCATTGTATTTCAAACGGTATTCATTCCATGCGTATTGCTACATGCTCAGTGGTGCATGGCTGAATTTGGGGGTATTTCAATTAAAATAGAGTGATTAGAGAATGCAAATGACGTGAAATATTTCTCGTTACCAGTCAAAAACATGTACTATAACTATATTATTTTTATAACATGGAGCGAGCCACATCAGTACTGTTTAATTTTGTTTTTCTAACTCGGTCACCCTGTAATGTTGTGTGTTTATATTATGGTAAGCTTGTAGGATGATTTCCTCATATTGATGTTGTATGCAGTTGCTTCTTGCCTAATGGCGAATTTAGTCATCTTGTCTTTCTGCCCATGCTTCCTTGCTTATCCCAGCAGTGCTGTATCATTAGGGCCCAATTACTTGGCGCTGCTTAACGGCAGCAAAGATTATCAGAACACTTTGAAGCTAAGAAAAGAGCAAACATGAGTTGGTGAGAAAAGTATGGTTTCACACGGCTTCTTATAGGGTGCAGGCCCCTAAAATCGGTCCGAAATTGCCTACGCCGGCCAAGTCACGATTTGCATGCCCTCAAAATTTGCAGTATTTGAGCATGCTGTGGGCCATGAACTTGATGGTTTGTAAAAAATATGGGTGGAAGCCGTGCACAGGACTGCGAGCTTGCAGTTCTGTGTAATTTGGATGTAATTTGGACCCTGAAAGCGCTCTATTTTGCAATGGAGTGTAGGCATCGTTTTTCAAAATGGCGATGGGCTTAAGGACTATTTTCAGGGGTGATCAGCTTCAGATGGAAATTTCTCCTAAAAGTCATAAGTTGACCCCCAAAAAATTGAAAAGAAAATGAAAGATGATGAAATAAGCTTTAATTTAATGTGTGTCTCGAACACCTTGGAGAGTTGTGAGTATTTTTCCGGATTTTTTTAATTGGGAGCATTTACCATTGGGGTCTATGGAAGTTTATTTACTGGTCTGCTACCTTATGGACTATTTACTCGCAGGTTTAGCGCAGAGTTTCGCATTTTTTACGCTGTAGGCACAGAATGGTGACCAAAGACTTCGGCTATTAACATAGCCATGAAATTAATGGACTAAAGTTGTCTTTCAGTGGATTTGCTAACACGGATATTTTCTTTATCGTTTCATTACACAAAACTCCAGCATGAGGGCCAATTTACACTAGAAGCGCGGCGTCGCGTGGTAATAAACAGTTTGGTGAAGAAAAAACACATCGGAAATATGCAAATTCATGCTAATGATTAGTGAAAGGTTTTGACCAAGTTCCATATATAAACCACCCAAGCGTTGATTGGTCAGAATGCAGGTTTATTTTGGAAAATCTGCACCAGTTTTCACCAGCACTGCGGTTTATCGCTCGCGCTACCTGGCGGTAAGTACCGCTTGGTGAAATTGCAGATTGATTGTTTTATATTAAGATAAAAATTATGTTCGTCTAAATTACATTCAAATTGTCTGCAAAACCTTGCCAGTGACCGTAGTTGTTGAAATAAATTCGACGTTTCGTAGCTGAAATACTCCGACTATGGTTCCCATCGCCGCTTCCACAATGTATATGTCAAAAGAAGAGTTTTAACCTCCAAATTGTAGGTGTTATTTCTGAATTTGCACATTATTTTCACATTGACACATTTCCCATTATGATAATGAAACCATTATATCGTGTCCAACAGGAAGCCAAGGATGGATACCAAGCACTCCAGCAGATCAGTGGATTCAGGTTGACCTGGGTAAACCCACGGTGGTTACCGGGCTCACCATGCAAGGATACGCCACAGGAACCGTTCATTATGTCACGGCATTTTCAGTCCAGCACAGCCTCACAGCCGAGTCAGATGACTGGGAGAGTTTAGCCAATGCCGACGGTGGAGCAATCAGAGTGAGTTACAGAGGGCGCTTTCCAACAGCATCGTTTGCCTAAACACGTTAGTTCCAAATTAGAACCAAGATATTTCATGTAGAGATTTCGATTGAATTGAAAAACCAAACTAATTATTATTTTTTTCTTCTCATCTATTTAAGTCGATAAATATAATTTTTTGTCATTCCATTTCATTAGTGTCAAGGTGAACAATATGTTACTTAATTTAATTGGTTGTCTTTTGTAGTTTCTTTGAATGATTACTTGATTTGTGACAACATTTCATAAATCTTCAGTTAAAATCGTGCCATTATTTTCATCCTTTAATCTCCTCCATCACCATTCATGACAGGAATTTTGAGTGAAAAGACCAAAGCGCTGATACGAATAGAAAAAAGCAGAATGTCCACCTGAGACGAACGTTCCGAAGCTGGGACTAATTAGAATACTAAATGTGTAGATCATCAGTCTGCGAAAAGGATATCTATCGGTGGAATTTGAAGCAGACATTAATACAATCCTGTCCAACGATGTTGTGGATCGAAATAATGATATATGTTCCTGTCAATTTTTTTTTTTTATGATGGAACCGGTTAAATGCAACCGCGAAACCATGTATTAAATAAATTATTATTGTCGATGGTAACTGCAGCGATAGCCAACCAAAGGTAAACTATTTCCCAAGCTGTATCCATGTAGGCGTATAAAGGAAAACCATCATATGCAACAAATATATTTTTTTTCTGTACCGGCATGTTCCGGAATGTTCGAAATGAAAACTGAACAGTTCCAGTGTAATCCTGCTTTTACTTGTTTTTTTTTTTTATAGTTCACCTTGAGCAGTGGTCGGCCGACCAATATCACCTTTCCTGTGGTACCCATAGCAAGGTTTATTCGCATACTACCTCTGGCCTGGACTCATGCAACTTTAATACAGAGTGAGGTTTGAGCTATTCGGGTGCCAAGGTACTTAACGAACGCTATTGATTCGTTAAAGAATAATCACATTTAGCAAAGTCATCATTTCGTTCAAACATTATTTAAAGATCTTTAAGACATGACATTTTACAGCCCGACCCGAAGATGGGATTTCTTTTTCAAATTAAAGCGTTAATGTTAAATAAAAAAATCATCTGCACAATGTCTTCCCATCACATTCAAATTAGTTCAGTAATATATTTTTTTTAATGGACAACACAATTTCCTGAAGTTCGATGAAAGTGTTTGTTTTGTCCGTTACATACGTTGTATTTTAGATCAATTAAAACAAAACGAGTGAAGCTGATATCACAATTGATTGATAGTTTAATGTTTTTAACTTTTCTAAATTGTAGTCGTTCTCATAGTTTAATTCAAAATGGCAAATTATTTTGCAGTCCCGGATGGTTATGTGAGGTTGGTGAATGGCACTGATGCTTCTCGTGGCCGAGTGGAAATCTACCACCACGATACAGGATCCTGGGGATCGGTGTGCGCTAATGACTGGGGGATAAACGACGCAATCACGGTGTGCCGTCAGCTGGACCTCGGTGCTGCAATCCAGGCCAACACAGCCTCAGAATACGGGAGAGGCGATCTGCCGATCATGATGAGCCGAGTCGCCTGTGAGGGGACGGAGAGCCGACTGGTCGACTGCCCGTTTGTCTGCACCAACTACCAGCAGTGTGAAAGCTCAAACGTTGCCGGAGTATTTTGCTACCCAAAAAGTAGGTGCCAGTTTTAGTCCGCCTGATTATAACTGAATGTATTGTTCCGTCTTCTTATCAAATTTAAATGTTTTGCTCATTAGGCGTGTTTTTATTTATTCCTTGGTGGATTTAATGTCACAGTACTTAATGATTATGTTCCCTCCTCCATGTTTACTGGATTCCGATAATTTCCTTCCCCGTTCTATACTTGTGTTATACTTTTTGGAATGATCCCGTGTTTGTTTGTTTGTTTCAGTTTTTTCTTGCGAATTTTATGCTATTTTTTTCACCTCAAACCGTTCACTTCTTTTTCTCCAGCTATGTGTTTGGAATTGTAGACTACGGTTAACCATATTCATAAACAAATGGTCGGGTTCCGATATTTCATTAAGATAATTTGAAGTAGCGAAAATGGTTTTGTCCATAAAGCAGCTATTTTGGCCTTGTTTACATTTTAATTTATAACTTACAATGAATGCATAAATGTCTTCTTAGTCTTCTTAAACATTACGAAACAAAAGTCTGTTGTCATGTACATGTTGACTTTGCTTTATTTTATTCCCTGAATCGTACTTGAAACAGATACTCTTCGGTTGGAGGGAGGTTCCAATGAATTCAGTGGCCGGGTGGAGATCTTCCGAAACTACACGTGGGGAACGATCTGCGACCGTGGCTGGGACGCCACGGATGGCGGGGTGGTCTGCCGACAACTCGGGTACAGCGGCGCCGTGGAAGCCAAGTCCGGAGCGCACTACGGGGAAGGAAGCGGCCTCATTCATATGGAGGGCGTGGCCTGTACTGGCTCAGAGGAGGGACTCGCTAACTGTCCGTCCCTCTGCTGGACAGCATCCACCTGCAGCCACAGCCGAGATGCCGGGGTCATCTGCAGTGTCGGTAGGAACACAGACAGCTTTTGATTATCTTATAAAGCAACGCACAATTAATTTAATAATTTGGGACGCACCACTCTGCTTTGCAATCACTGGCATAGCACAAACACTGAAACAATTTAAACAAACTAAAAGCAGCCGCTGGAATTTAAAGGCTATGTTATACGCAAAAACCATGGAGGTCTCACTGAATTCAAAATACTGGGTAGATCATTTCCAAAATCTGTATTTTAAAATTAGAATCAAACATTTTTGATGATAAATCAAGTGTCACACAAGGAGTCTATACAAATTCATCAAGGTGGTTGTCAGATGAGGTGCGCGCATGTTGGGAACCCTATTGGTCAAAGGAGGATTAAGAGTGCGTGCTCGTCCTGCGCGTCAGATCGTGATGTCACCACCGTAATGGCTTCTAAATATTAAGGTCGATGGATTAGTCTGTTGTAAATGTGATAATTAGGACTGTATTTGAATTGGATTTTCTCTACTTTCATTGTTTTAGAAACCAGTGGTTCTGAAGAAACCAACCCTGAGTGATGTGACTATTGACAACTGGCTTCATGCAGTGCCTGCGATAGCCCTGCTTATAGGCCTATATGGCATACGCTTGGTGTAAAGGTTACTCCGTTGTGTATTAAATGTATCACTTAATTCGTAGCGTAATCACCTTCATCTTGTGCCATTTCTATTAATTTTGATGTCTCATTAGGAAAGCTCGTGGCAGCGCAAAAAGATTGACACTTAGGATTTTTTTTGGCGTGACATGCTCCAAAAGATGGTTGACCTTATGTAGGATCAGGGTATTTCGGGTCGTCTAAGCCGACTTTTTCTCGTAAGTTTGACAGGGAAATTGGTTTTTAATCAAATGCTTCCAAATTTGACTCAACATTCCTTGAAGTCAATATTCATTCAATCAATAAACGTTTGGCATCCAAAGTTACCGCTAAAGGACGGATTAAACATTTTGGGGCAAAATTATTTTGTCATTTTGTCACAAAAAAGTTGAATCGTTCTGCCAAAATCGGCAGAAACGAAAGGTGAAATTAACATAATATGGGGATGTAGCATTTAAGAAACTAAACTGTGTAAAAAAAATACCCCAAAACTTTATGGAGAAGAGGTGAAAAAACTACTTTTCGCGCCGATTGGGGCCATGTTGGGCAAGCATGCATTTTATTTGGTCACATGACCATGAAGTTCAAATCTTAAGTAGATACTGAAATGTTTTGCGCGCAAAGAAACTTTGGTTTTGACCCACAAAACTGCAAATGTCCATATTCTGAATACAAAAATAAACATGTTATGCGTATACTAGTATTTTTTTAAAATTGTTTTGCATGGTAATCATAGAATCCCACAGAAGTTGTTTATCACCTTATAAATGATACGTTTGATTAGCTCAACTGGGTCGGCTCGGGTAAGTAGCCCTGTGCCTTTCCATCATTGTCGGGGCTCCTGACTCGCTCGGGTCAGCCACCTCGTACAGACCATTCTCGGTGAGCAGAGTCAGTGGTGGAAATACGTCACACGCATGCGTTTTTCATTCCAAGAAACGGACAAATATGGCGGTCGAACAGTGGAAAAGATGGAGTTGACCCAGAAATCAGCTTTATTTAAAGTCTAAAAATAGGCCTTTTGAGCTCATTGCGACTTTAGAGTATTCCAGCCCTATTTTGTTACTGTTTGCGATTGACGGAAAAGCAGTAAATCTCGAAGTCAGACTCAGTTTGTCGTTTTGTCAATGGCTCCCAGTGACTACGGACCGTCGCGTTAGGATCATGATGGTCCAAGTTTGAGCGTTCAATTAGCACAACTCTCTTGCCTAACCCGTCTGCCTTTATTACCATGTTTTAATACAGCGTATAGCAGAAACTGCTTTGTAGTATTGTTTATGAATATTTATATAACAGTATCTTACATTCTCTATAGCCTCTAATGATTATTTCGTTCTTGGAATCTACAGTCAAAATTGCATCTTATAACAAATTATTTACATATTCCTCTTTGATCAAAACTTTGTCATATTTTTGAGTACACATCAAATTCATGACTCATGAATATTCACACTCAGTCTGCCATTACTCATATTTCTGAAGGCTTATTTGCTATGCTAGAAACATCGATTTATTTTTCACAACCATTATTGTTATCAAACGTACACGAGGTGCTCGTAGTTAATAAATCAATGTGTTGCACTTATCAAAGCTGTTTATTAAAGACTCAATCGCTTGCCAATTTATTTTAAACTTGAACTTAATCATCAATTCATAAGAATCTTACCATATTATTACTCTCTTTGTAAGGATATTATAAATTCCTACTCGCTTAGATTCTTATAAGAATGAAAATTTTCTCTTCATCATTTTTATCGATAAATATGTCATGGTAGTCAAAAACCTACTCTGAAATCTGGCGAATTCAAATTTTATCAATATTTGCTTTTAAAGATACTTGGACCGGGCTGCGTCAATAATGACAATTTTCAGGTTGATTAGGTTACACAAAAAATAATTTGATTTATTGAAATCATTACTGAGAGGGAATGATTACATTTATAAGAATGGTAATCATTCTAAGACATGATGTTATTCCTGTGGTCCTAGTTATGGTAATGAGCATGTTAGAATATGTCATCACAGCTTGTACTTCTGGTGTTGCTGCTCTTCAGCCTGCAGGTGCATGATGGTCTCATGGTGATTGGGTTCCAGATTAGTCAGTAGCTGGTCAGCGATGCGATTGCGCAGCCTGGTGCTGACCTGCCAGAAATACCAAACATGTAGAAATAGAAACAATGGCAGAAGTTCAGGCTGAAACTTTGAATAATTAAAAACTACAAAAACCGGTAGACTCTTCCTTAAGACTAATGCAGGCAACAACATGTGCGCCTCTCAAGTGCTCCACTGCGTATTCCAGCCGCGCCATCACAAAGTGCATTCAGATCAGACTTTTGTTGGTCATTTGGTTGCACAATAGACTGCAGGTACATAAATGGGAAAAAAACACCTATGAATTGTTTGCATGTGTGTCTTCCCATTGGGAGTCGCTGGCTTGCGTCCCCACCTGGCTCCCATAAAAAAAACCGGTCGTATAAACAAAGTGTGACATATCATTATGACTCAGTTCTATTGAGACTGTAATTAGTCACAACGTCACGGGGAAGGAGCTTCATGTGTCAATCATTTGCAAGATGAAACAAAATAAATTAACGAAGGAAACTTCTTACACCTAACCTCTCAATCAAAAGCAACAGATATCATGCTAAAATTATTATCCAGAGCAGTTTCCAAACTGTCCTGTTGATTTTGTAATGCATTGATTGAAGTGACTGGAGCCAGCATCAAACAGAATCCAAGTGCTGTACCCAGCCGATACTCACCGTCTTGAGTCTCTGTATGACTCGGTCGTACCTCTCGTTGTTTGGCAAGCGGTAGCCAGGAAGGGTGAAACTTGAATTTCGGACTTTTGAGATAAAGTCATTTTGGGGCTATTGGGGGCGCTGTTTGCATTTGATGAACTCTCAAATCCGACCTTACGACCGTTTGTTTCAAAGATAGTTGGATGTGTCTCCAATAAATTGTGCACCTTGGATTCAGTTACTTTGACAAAAGGGCGAGTATTGAGATGCATGTCGTGTTGAGCTAGATACAACTGGGCAAAAGAGTGTAGCTATCCAGTTACGACTTTGTCCATCTTATATAGAAAAATGGTGCCAGTGCATGGTTTTCAATACCTTAAAAGCAGTAATAACGACAAGAAACTAACATTTGTGCAGCATTTTTACAACATTATGTACAACCTGTGGTATAAACATAGATTTAATTGATTGTAAAAAAAAAAACCCAGAAAAGTTGGAAGACCTATACTGAACTTCCGATCTCATTTTTCCCAAAATGCGTTAGTTGGAGAAGAAAACTTGTCTACATTTCAGCACGGATGTGCAAGTGCCCTTTTCAAAAAAAAAATACCCCCCCCCAATAAAAATGACCGTGCTACGCCACTGCTTTAGACGGCCGGGTTTTTCTCTCTCTGATCCGTAATGATCCTTCCGCAGGTTCACCTACAGAAACCTTGTTAGGGAAGCCCCATGGGCCACGTCCCAGCAGCTATAGCAGCGTGATATTCAGCCGATGGCTCGTCCGTTTGTCGGGGGCATTTTTACACCTTGCAAAACTTCCGATAATGAATATAAACGACCCGCCAAAAGTTTGAATCACAACAGGCGACAGGGGTAGATCCAGGAATGTTCGCAGGGGGAAGGGGGTGGTGTTCATCATCAAAAAACCCTGAAATGTAGACTTTTATTCTCCGGAAACTTTTGTATCCAAAAATCAATAGGTGGGGGTGGGGGGGCTCGCACCATATTTTCAATGAAGTTGCTTTTCAAATCCGACGATTATTAACACTAATAGTGTACAAACCAATTAAGCAATAGAATACAAATTCAGTCCGCCTGAATCAACAAATTGCAAAATTGGACGTTGAAACCTATCATTTAATTTGCCTTGAATAGGAACTGCTTATGTGGAGTATAAAGCTACAGGGAACAGAAAAACTAGATAATTTTGGGTGGACCTAATAAACATGCTATTTTTTTCTTTTTATATTCCAAACTCTGACATACTGCCACAAGTCTCTGTGAATTGTGAACTTGTTTATGTAACTCCATAAAAGCTGACACGCCCACAGCTTCATCTCAAACCGTAGAAGGCAGCACAGACATTCACACCACGCTACCGACCCACTCCACTCACCAGCTTTATTATAGAGGGCAGCACAGGAGTCACCAAGAGATAGAATTGATAGCTAGCCAACAATAGACTTGAATCATGATGACGTCACGGTGTGTTCACATGTGCGGTTTCCTATGGGAGTCTGGTGGGGATGAGAACCACCAAGCTCCCATAAGAAAGGTAATCAAAACGCAACGTTATATATCAGGTCTATTACACCCTTAGGTAATATGGAGTGCATGTTCAGAACTTAGTAACGCTTTTGTGAGGTCAATGTGATTACTAAAAACATAATGTACAGCATGGGCAAAATACTCCACACTTTCTCGGTTTGGTACATCCTGAATAATAAAGTGAGTTTAACCCTATCTAGAGGGGCACAATGTGGTGTAATAGCTCTGGAACGTTTGGCCGATCGGCATGACATTTTGTGATTGTTTAGTTAGTACCAAACTAAATTCTGAAGGATGTCATTTTTTTTGTATAACAACATGGATATAGGCTATGCATTTTTTTTGGGTCAAAACCATGTTTTCTTTGCCTGAGCCTATCAAGTATCGCTTCGAAAAATGTGGCCTTTATAGTCGGGGAAAGATCCTTAACATTTCGATTATCTCCAGAACCGGGCACTCTTTCAAGTTGACAATCGGCAGGCGTATTGCTCGGGACCCCAGCATGTGCAGTGTCAAGTTTGAAGTTGTTTGGATGTGCAGTTCTCAAACAAGCTGTCAGACATACCATACAAACGTCTATTATACAGACCGCGCCACGCACTGCTACACAATTTGAACGGGCGCTGCACTGGGTATGTTACGGGTTAAAGCTACATTCCATCATTTGCAGCTATCCAAACAGTAACTGACGTAATTATTATTGAAAAACATACTTGGCAGAAAGATAGTAAGGGGACTAAACTCCCTGTGAAATTATTCTTTCTGGCAAGCTGTCATTTTGAAGAAATCAACGAAAGAAGGCCTTTCCAACGATGCGTCTTAAGAAGCATCGTTGGAAATTTCCGTTATAAGTTCTTTTTTTTTTTATTCGGCGCAGCGCGCGCAAGCATTGACACGACGCACACGCGCGCGCGGTTGCTATAATTCGTCGGAGCATCGCGCGACATCGCGTAGCTGCAATCGGCACAGTGAGAACGTGTCTCGGACGCTGAATTCAGGCCCTTTGATTTAAAATCGGGATCCTAAATTTTGGTTTTTCGCGGATTATACAGCTGAAGCTGAGCTGAACCTTCATCAGGTTAGTTGTTCAGCACCCTTCTTTAGATTTTGAGCACGTTTGTTGCTTCCAACGAAAACGAACCAAATGCACAAATTACAATGATGGACTATATACCTTTAACACACGTGGCGTGCAAATGGCGGTAGGCTGTATGGGCTCCACCATTTCTTGAAGGGGGAAGATCGCACAACGGTGAGATGCCTTGACCATTTGTTGAAGGAGACGATCGCGCAACAGTGAGGTGGGCCTCGACAATTTTTTGAAGGGCACGATCGCGCAACGTTAACGGTGAGGTGTAGATATGGCGCGCATATTATACGGGCACTGCACTCTATAGACCTTTATCATGCTGCCACCATTTCAGTCATGTTCCCTGTATCTAATAACAGTACTGAATGGTAATGGTTTTTGTGGAAAAAGGAACCAGACTATTTTTCGCCCAACCTCGCTTTGGTTACGTTGATTCAAATGGGAAAAATCCAAATGACCGCAACATGATAATGGTCTATACCGTCACCTTCGCGGCCTACTGGAGGCCAATCAATTTGCCCGTTCCAAAAATTCACGTTTTGAACGGGCACTGCACTAGTAATAATAATGCACCAGTGTCCATGAAGCCATTGTTTTTGTGTTGATGGCGTTTGTGACATTTTATTAATGTTACATCCTCAGGCTGTTTTCGATTTTCACACTGACAAAATAGTTTTCGACCGAAAAATCAGACTGAGTTCCGTTGTTGAATTAATGCTTTACAAATTCCGAATTAGTTGCGGCCTGACCATAATTCCTTTCTCACGAGGTTGGCTGGTTCCCACTGGGCTACACCCAGTACCGATAATGTACTGACTGGGAATGGGTCCGATTTGCAAGACGGACTCCCATTTTTTTTTGGGGGGGGGGGTGTTGCCGACTTACAGAAAGTGAGAAAAAATATAGTTATTTGGTTGTAAGGTGACTTATATTTTGAAGATTTATTGACGGACAAAATGAATTTAATCGAATTTCTTAAAGAGCACTGGGAACGCCACTTTCAGGCCTCATTGTTTGCTAGTATACGATTCTCTCTGGAAGATGATAAGTATCTTTGAGGAGAAATTGAAAAAGAAAAGAAACTGTGTCGAGCTCAACGAGCGTTGGTTACCTGCTATTCCCAACGTATTAGCCTGACGTTCAATTACCATCGGCCTCTGTTAGTTTGATACATTTCTTTTGTAATTTGTTGTAACATATATTTTGCAGTTTGCAGTCTTCATAACAAATGATGTGTATAATTAGCGCTTGCTGCTATTCTTTACTTGTGAAGCACTCGTGAGCTTCGCTAGTGAAGGGTGAATGATGGAACCATTTTCATTATTGTCTTCTTTTCATCATTACACAAATATATTCTGAAAAGAAGACAAAGCAGACGCTAAAAGGGCTGAATTTCTTTGTGTATTCCCGGAATTTATAGGTTAAATGATAGCAGCGCACTTCATATGTGCCATTGAAAAACGACTAAAATACCCTCAAATGACAATGAGGTTTTTCCTCCGGTGGAGGGTTTTCTAGACTTTAGGAATCCCTAATAAAGCTGGTCCTATAATAATGCACTGGTCGTGCATCAAGGTCTAGGGGTTCTAGTTTGTCATCTGAGTCAATTTTCGGAACAAGGTGAGGTTTAAGCAAGTCTAATTAATGACAGTCAATGAGTGAGTCAGTCAGTCCGACGAGCGACGAGCAAAAACTAGGATCTGCAATATTTGAATTGAAGTATAATTTACACAACAGAATAAATCCATTAAGCCGCTTCACCCTTTTTGTAAAAAAGAACCGCTGTCAAAAAATGGGTTGTTTACGAGTGTAAGGAAAGCATGCAAGGCCGATTAAAATAAACGATTGTTCGCTTGCGTAAAGTACGTGTCATTTGTTATTCTTGAAAATGCACAATTATGTAGTAATTGCAAAACATAGAAACTAAAAGGGATGATTAAGCTGTGTGTTGATAATGATAGTACTGACGCGACGTGGCAAAAAGTGCGCACTGAGTCGTCAGAGTATTCTGGAACAGGCTGGTTTAAATTCAATTTTGTTTCATCAGAATAAACAAATTCTGAAGCGTAGGCCTACTCAAACGAATGATAAAATAATTGGATATGCTTTTTATTTATCGTCAAAACTCTGGCATTTTCCCTGTTTTGCTACCTTTGTAATATGCCATTTAAGTGTCAATTAACATGACATCAAACTATTTGCTTTTTGGGATAGGAAAAATTGGCCCCCACATTTATATAGAATGACCTAAATAAGAAAGACCAGGTTAAAAAAATGTTCTTACTTTCTTACTATATTCACTGTATTAAAGTGAATACTCTTGCAAGTATATTTTACAATTCAAAAGATGCATAGTTTAAGTACATGTTAATGTTTGTCCATAAGGAGACGCTGCGACCCTTTTGTTTTGTCTATTTAATGTTGTTTTTGTTTTATTTGTTTGTTTAACATAGTTTTTAAGGTTTTAAGTTTTTGTCATCTTTTGAACATTTTGAAAGAATTTGACTAGTGGCGCCCAAAAAAACCATTTTGTTTTTTTACACTTATCATTGTATTCATACTTTGAATGAAATTCATGATAAATAACAAATAAGTATTTGGATTTTATTCTCAAACAACAAGTACCATTATACACTGGCTGTCATCACTCTGCATACATTTCTACCGTGCTTGGCAACAATTTTGCTATGAAATAACCTCAAATCACAATTTAATTATTTAGGAGGGAGGGAACGTCATTCTGTTTTGGAGTATCTTTTGATTACTCAGTCGTTTTGATAGCCCTGCGATTTTTCCATCGTTTGTGAATTATTCCTCTCTTTTAGTAAGAAGCAAACTTGAGTAAGTCTTCGACATGGTACCTTTGGTAGCTTGTGAGTTTCGCCACAAATAAAAACGCAGCACGTTCTGTATCTGCTTGGTATCAACCAATCCAGTGCGAGCGTTCATTACTATTCACGTCACTGACCAATCTATCTCCGTGGAATGCTTACCTTGCAGGAAACCAGTAGCGCTACGTTGCCAGTTTCATTCCAGACACTGCGCTGTGGTAACGCCTTGACATCTGCAGTGTTAGCGATGGTCTGATGCAACGAATTTAGCAGATCTAAGCTGATTGTAGGGGACAATTTGACTGCATGTTCTCGCATAAAACTTGTCATCGAACTTGTCATGAATTGAATACTTTAAAACTTAATCGCAGCTTGATCAAAGACTCGTTTTTTTTTCATGTGGAATGCAGTTCATAATTGAGCCAGCTGTATCTTCGATTCAGAACGTAACGCTGCTGTTGGAGAATGGACTTTTTTACGTGGTGAACATTTCAATAACAGCACGTTATTAATCAGATTTTTCTATAATGGCGAAACTTTTGTACCCTGGTTTCAAAGTTTTCATTCTGACGGTATTTTGGGGTGCGGTCAATGTTGCCAGGGTACGTCAATGTTATACACGTCAACAAATCATGTACGCTGCGGTAAATCGCGCACTTCTAGGGTTTACATACGGAAACAAGACGGTGCGGTCTCGTGTCATCTGCGCACGGGAATGCATCATGGATGAGCGTTGCAAGTCGTTTAACTTTAACGACTGCAATAAAATGTGCGAGCTGAGCCTTGCCACAAGACAAGAGCATCCCGAAGACTTCAATGCAACTCAAGGGAGTGTGTACTTTGATGCAAATGAGGACACACCTCACTACTCACTTACTGATAGCTCCTTGAACCGCTACAGAAGTTGCAAGATGCTCTTAGATGCCGGTTATCGTTCAAGTGGTATCTACACAATCTACCCAGAGCGATTTGATGGTTGCAGTCTTCGTGTCTACTGTGACATGGAAACAAACGGCGGAGGATGGATCGTGTTTCAGAGGAGACAAGATGGCAGTGTGGACTTCTACCGTAACTGGGCCGAGTACCAGTCTGGCTTTGGCGATCTGTCTGGTGAGTTCTGGTTGGGCAATGACAACTTGGTGACTCTGACGTCTGATGATTCCCAAGGAACATGGGAGCTACGAGTTGATTTAAAGGACTGGGAGAACAACACGGCATGGGCAAAGTACTCAGATTTCCAAATTTCTCCGGGTGAGTACAATCTGAATATCGGTCAATACGATGCCAGCAGCAATGCTGGTGACTCTCTTAGTACGACTCATAAAGGACGTCCCTTCACAACAAAGGATCGTGACAATGATCAATCAAGTAACAATTGTGCACAATCGTTCCCTGGAGCCTGGTGGTTTAATAACTGTTATCACTCTCACTTGAATGGTCAATATTATGTGAATTTAGGGGGTCGCAATGGCGTGAATTGGAATACATTGCGAGCCCACATATCTGATTCTCTGAAAACATGCAGCATGAATATGCGTGAATTGGGACCATGATTATTTTATAAATTGCAAATAAAAACTGTTCGCAAACAGACATTGAACGTTTTCACTCATTGTGCGGTGATACCGCGGGGTGGGTGGGGGACTTTCCCAAGTTGCGTAGCAGCTCCCCAAAAATACAGGGAAAATAAAATAGGCCTACAAAGGGTAATTAAGCAATTTAGTTTTACATATAAACGTAACTATAGAAACTGTTTTCAATTTTGAGAGGGATCCAAAATGTGGCTACAAGGCTGTATATAAATACATGTGGTGGCGTTGAGGAGGACCCCACAACCAAAACGCACAAACACAAATGGCTGAAAGGGAGTGGGGTAGTCGTGCATCAAGTAAATGCACTGAACGGATATTTTTGTGAAATATGATCCGAAACAGTTAAGAAACGGGAAACAAAAAGTGCCCTTAGCCTCGTATGTTGAAAGAAAATGATTTTTTTTTTCAATTTGATGAGGGACGGCTCCCCCTCCCAATACAATGCCGGTGAACCCCCCCCCCCTCCACCCCACCCCAGACTGAAAAGTTCATAGCAATGTAAGCGTTTAAATTATTCAGAAAATGACAAGGAAATACCGGTGTGTGCAAGAAAGATTAAGGGAATGTTATTTTTTTAAGGTCGCGGGGGGATGATCGAACCCAGAGCCATTCCTGATTTTTTTCAGTTTATTTTAGAAATTCACGCAGTTTTGTCATAGATTTAATATTGCGTTTGCAGACTGTTTTTTCAACAATTATGTCTTGTAAATGCCAAGTACATCGTTCGGGATTGGGAAATCCCCCCCCCCCACACACACACAGGGTTGTTTATTATCATTCCTCATCATCGATCTTTTATTTAAAGTCTAACATTTTTCAACAACTCTCATTGGTTTTGTAAACGTTTTCTAATCGAGGTTGTCCTTGATTTGACTCCTGTCATCAATTACTCGATAATGCTTCACAAGTTTGTCCTCGATTTACACCATAAACATGCACACATCTTCAATCGTGTGAAAATCTTGCATGAAGCTGTCTCTATGTACACACAGTGGCGGATCTAGAGAGGGGGTTGGGCTTGTAACCCCCCCCCCCCCTTCAGCGGCTGACTAATGTTATGATAATAATGTTATGACCGTAATAAATTATAATTGTAAAATGGGGCCAAACTAATAAAAGGGATGATAAAGCTCCTTAGTTTATTTTCAAATTAATCTGTTTCTTTCCCAAAGAACCCACTAAACAATTTTCGCCATCTCAATGGTAATGCACTATTTCTAACCTCCCATTGTTAACTATGCAGTTGCACCTGTTATACGAAGTAGTTTCGTTTGGATAAATCATAAGTTATTATAAATAAAGGAAAGAGCAGGATTCACCATTTACGGGAAAATAATAAATAAAAATAAGCGATAACCAATATACATTATAAAACTAAACAGGTCACATGAGTTAACTTATATATTACATGTACATTCACTGTTTTCTTCTGGTACTAATTTTGGAGGAAATGAAACAACTAAAATTTAACTTGAATAACTGCTCATTAATTGTGGAATGTAAGAATGTAAAATAACCAATAATTTGGGTGGATATAAACGTGTTTATTTTGCCATTTTGCTTGTACATTGTATTACATAAAATAATAATGATGTATGGAGTTGAATAAACTGAGTGATAAGAACCAAACCATTATTGATTGTTATCACTCAGTTTGCTGTTTGTAATTTGCTTGTATATTGCGGCACAAAAAAGGTTCCAATGACCTATGACGTTGAATAAACCGAGTGACAAGAACCAATCAATGATTCGGTTTTTCCGATTTATTCAAAGTTTCCTGTTAGCAAGAATGTGATTTTAGTACTGCACTGCAAAAACTGTGTTTAGCAATTAAACACTTTTCTAAACACCTTCTTGCTATCAGTTTGTAAACATGTTTAAATACTAAACATGTTTAGAGTAAGGATGGATTGTGTTTAGCTATTGGACATTGATGTTTAGGAATTGGACACATAATGTTTAGCATCTAAACATGTTTACAAAGTGATAGCAAGATTGTGTTTAATTGCTAAACACAGTTTTTAGAGTGTGTGTTTAGCAGCTGTAGGGCAACTGGAGCTATGTTTCAAAACAAGTAAGTCTACCGTTCCTTACAACACCGTTGGCGGATCTGGGGGGGGGGGGGGTTCATCCGCTGACTATAGTTTTATAAAACTAGTAAAAAAAAAATATGGAATGCTAACGATTCAAATATTTTCTCACATTGTCCTACAATGCAAGAGAAAGCATTCCATATTTTAGTTTTTCCGTTTGATATGCCCCTCTCCAGGCCACACCTATCAGGGCATGGCGTTTGGCACTCGCTCACTCAATCCTCTTGATATTACCCCCCGCCCCCTCCTCTTAAGTTTACTGGAAGCTAGATCCGCCTCTGATGCCGCCACTTCCACTTTGACCCTAACCCTACAACACTAATTAATTTCCACCCATTTCGCAATTATTTGAGAATAGTTCAAGAATCTTTGAAACGTCAAGCCCTTTTACGAAAAAGAAAACATTTAGCCCCAAACTAAACCCATAACTGGTTTAGGAACCTGAACAAGTTATATATTAGCCTAATTGAAATATGGCGAATACAATAGGAGGGCGCTATTTGGTTTCGGTAAATAAGAGTTTACCCAAATCACACAGCGCCCTCCTATTGTGTCTACCATATCTTAAATAGGCTAATAGATAAGTTTAGATCTCAAGTTATAATTCAGAATCCTCGGAACACATTTGGCCCCTCCCGGCATTTTGTTTGATTTCGAATCCGCAACAATTATCACGTTTGCATGATTCCAAACTATAGAGGGCAGCACACACTGTACACATTACCGGGAACCATCCCGTTCATTCGGGGGACCAACGGATATCAAAACTATAGAGGGCGGCACACAATGTACACATTTCCAAGAACTATCCCATCCATTGAGGACATCCAATCTATAGAGGGCAGCGCACAATGTAGTCTACCGAGACCATCCCATCCATTCAGGTAAACAGCGACATCCAATCTATAGAGGGCAGCACACAATGTACAGTTTACCGAAACCATCCCATCCATTCAGGGGAAAAGCGGACAGGCAATCTAAGCTATAGAGGGCAGCACACAACGTGTTCAGTTTACAGATAACCATCCATCTATTATTCAAGGGAATTGCGGGCCTCCAATCTATAGAGGGCAGCACACAATGTTTACAGTAGTGTTCGAGGACCTTCTGTCATCCATGCACAATCACAGTCAAAGCGCATTGGGTCCAGCCTACAGAGGGCAGCATGAATAATGGCCTTCTCCGTGAAGACAACTACGACCACGTTAGGTTTTGGCGCAGCATTGTGAATGTCAAAATAAAACGGCCAACACATGAGCAAGTTTGGGCTAACTTTGCTCGAACAAAGGTTTTTGGGCTATCTAGTGGCCTATTTGGAACCGGAGCGTGGGGCACAGTTGACGGTTCCATCGCTGGTTACCAATAGCTGCGCGCATCATAAAGCACAATGGGGGACCAGGACGTTTGACCAAACGATGACTAGAGGTGTTCGCGCGTTGCTATTTAGTGTGCAGGCGTAGGCCTAAGTTTCGTCAAAGATCTACCACTACTCGACTAATGGTCCTCTCTCGAACAAGGCATGCTGTCTAGAGCTGATGTTTCTCATCAAACTGCAGTGTTCAGTGGTGTATTAATTCATGATCAGACAAAAGCCGGAAAAGCTTCCTGTATTCTGATTCGATCGCACAATGGACCTTTATCATGCTGCCACCATTTCAGTCATGTTCCCTGAATCTGATAACAGTACTGAATGATAATGGTTTTTGAGCAAAAAGGAACCAGACTATTTTTCCTTCCAGCCTTGCTTTCGTTACGTTGATTTGAATAGGAAAAAAATAACGATGATAATGGTCTACACAGGTTGTTAAAAAAAAAGAAGGAAAACCAACTTCAAAGAATGAGTATGGACAGACGATATGTTTACTGGCTATAAACTAGTATCATCCGAAAGCATAATCTCTATGCTTTTCAATGATACCATGGTTAGGTTTTCTGAGTTTTGGGCTTTTCCGAAAAGTTGCGGGAAAGCCTTTGTTTTTGTTCTGATTTTTGGCTTTTTCGAAAATTTGCGAAAAAGTCTTTGTTTTTGTTCTGATTTTATTTTTTTGGCTTTTTCGCAAATTTGCGAAAAAGCCTTTGCTTTGTTCTGATTTTTTTCTCCCATCTTTCTTCTTTTTATTCCATGCAAAATCCCATAGACTTTGTACACGATTTAAGTACACGCCACTTTTGGCATTGAACTTTGTCATACATCTTTCAAATTAAGCATATGCATTATCCTTATGGCAAAAGTAAAATTGAATGTTTATGCGAAGGCTGAAAAGCACGCCAGGAAGGGGCAGGGGACATGTCAAAAGTGACGGAGCCGACTGGTGTGTGGATGTTAAATCCCTGCCAGGCTGGGATTTTTTTCCAAACGACATTCCTTTCTCATCTTCTGACAGGTCCATTACATGCATATCTAATGCCTTGTTCTTCACAACACAAACCCAAGATAGGCTTTACGTCTTGTTAGAAATGTCCTCCCCCACTTTAGTAATTTAAAAGGAAAAATGAGAAGTGAAAAAAAAACCGCTCATTGAGGGTCGAATTCAGATGATTAGAAGTCAGGGGCCATATTCATGAAACCTTACTAAATTAGAAGCCAACTAGGCCTTAGTAGGATACTTAAATGCCTAGTAGTCCACTATGTAGTTGACAACTAAATTGTTATTCATGAAACCTTAATAAGAACCTTGCTAACTAGTTTCATACTAGGGGAATTTAGTTGCATACCTGAGTAACTGGAATTGGGCGCCTTTGGATGGAAGGGCATGTATGGAATGTGATGACAACAGATACAATAGTGTGACAGGTGTATTAGGCTAATCCATGTCCAGCACTTGCGTGGATTAGCAAAAAAAAGAGGAAAACAGTGACCAAGGCCTA